CACTGGTTCATTCAATAAATATTTCTGAGACTTGGCATGGTGACTCAGGCCTGTAATCCCAACACTGGGAGGTCAAAGTGGGTGGATCTCTTGAGCCCAGATGTTTGAGACCAACCTGGGCAATATGGTGAAACCCTGTCTCTATGAAAAATACAAAAATTAGCTGGGCATGGTGATGCGTGCATGTAGTCCCAGCTACTCTGGAGGCTGAGGTGGGAGGATCACCTGAGCCTGGGAGATGGAGGCTGCAGTAAGCCGTGATCGCACCACTGCATTCCAGCCTGGGCGACAGAGTGAGACCTTGCCTCAGAAAAATAATAATAAATAAACATTTCTGAGCACCTACTTTGTGCTCTTCCAGGCACGTGAGCTATATCAATAGACAAAACTCACAAAAATAATCTTGCCTTCTGGAGGTCATATTCCAATGGATAAAACAGAAAATAATAAACATGATGCATAATTAGAATGTTAGGCAGTGATGAATGCCTTAGAAAAAGATTGGAGCAGGTTAAGGAGATGGGGAATGGGAGAGGAGACATTGTAATTCAAAATTGATTGGTCAGGAACTCAAACAAATACTTGGACACTAATAGCAGCATTATTCAAAATAGTCAATAGCTAGAAGCAACCCAGATGCCCATCAATGGATGAATGGATAAACAAAGTGTGGTAGGTACGCGCAGTGGAATATAATTCAATCATTAGAAGCAATAAAGTACAGACCCATGCTACAATATGAACAAACCTTGGAAAGATTATGCTAAGTGAAATAAGGCAGTCACAAAGGGCACTTATTGAGTGATTCTATTTATAGGAAATATTCAGAATAGATAAATCTATAGAGTCAGAAAGTAGATTGGTGGTGGCTATGGGTTTGTGGTAGAAGAGGAAGAATGGGGACTTCATGTTAATGGGTGTGGGGTTATACTCGGGGATGGTGAAAATGTTTTGAAACTAGATAAAGTTAGTGGTTGTACCACACTGGGAATGTGCCAAATGTCACTAAATTGTGCACTTTAAAATAGTTAATTTTATGTTATGTTAATTTCAGCACAATTTTTAAAAATCAGAAGCAAAAAAAGAACAGAAAATTGAGTAGTCAGGCTAAGTCTCATTGAGAATGTACAGTCTGAGTGCCCACTTGGAGGAGGTAAGTTAGCTCTTGGAGGAGGTGGGTAATGGGAAGAAGCTGTCCAGGCGGAAGGAACAACGTGTGCCTAGTGCCTTCAAGGAACAGCAACGAGGATATGGGGTTGGAGGGGAGGGGTCAGAGAGGTGATTGGTGGTGTTCCATCGTGTGGGACCTCCCTACTTCTGTAAAGATGTTGGCTTTTCCTCTGGGTGAGGTGGAAGACTTTGGAGGCCTCCTTGATTTGACCTAGGTTCTAACAGAATCTCCAGAGTATCTGTTTTAGGAATAGACTTCAGAGGGTACAACTGGAAGCAGGGACAGCAATTTAGAAGCAGTTATTAAAATCCAAGTGAGAGACCATGGTGGATTGGACAAGGATGGTGGCCATGAGAATGGAGAGATGTAATTGCAGGTAGGATGTGCTTTGAAGATGAAACCATAAGTTGTCCTGATGGATTGCATTTCCAATATGTGAGGAAGAGAAGAGTCAATAATAAATGGAGTCTTGGTCTGAGCCAACATTCAGCATGGAGTTATCATCATTGCGATTAGAAGGCAGTGGGAGACACTGACTTTTCTTTGGGGCAAGGGAGGCAAGGAGGCTGGAGGAGATCAGAAGTTCTGTTCTGGAGACATGAAGCTTTTGTGAATTCCACTTGTTCCTTGAATATATGCTGGTTTCTTCTGTTTTTTTCTTTTTGTTGTTATTTGTTTGTTTGTTTTTTAAAATTTTAGATTATAGGGTATATGTACTTGTTTGTTACAAAGGTATATTGCATACTGTTGGGGATTGGTCTTACCCAATTAGTGAATATTGTACCCAGGAGGTAATTTTTCATTCATCACTCCCTACCCTCCCTACTTTTGGAGTCCTCAGTGTCTCTTATTTCCACCTTATGTCCATGTGTACCCATGGTTTAGCTCCCATATATGAGTAAGAACATGTGGTGTTTGGTTTTCTGTTTCTTAACTGGTTCACTTAAAATAATGGTCTCCAATTCTATCCATGTGGCAAAGGACATAATCTCATTCTTTTTATGGCTGCGTAGTAATCCTTGGTGCATAGGTACCACTTTTTCTTTAGTCAACCATTGATGGACACTTAAGTTGGTTCCAAGACTTTCCTATTGTGAACAGTGCTGCAGTGAATATACTAGTAGTGGTGGAGAGGTGTCTTTTTTATATAATGATTTCTTTTCCTTAGAAAAGTAGTGAGATTTCTGGAGTGAATGGTAGTTTTATTTTTAGTTCATTGAGAAACCTTCATACAGTTTTCCATAGAGATTGAACTAACTAACATTCTCAGCAACAATGTATAAGCATTCCCTTTTATCCACATTCATCCCAACATCTGCTGTTTTTTGAGTTTTTAATAATAGCCATTCAGACGGGTCTTCTGGTTTTTGGAGGGGAGGATTGGGTGAAGCAGGAAGGAGTTTGGAGGGAATGAGTGGAGGCTTGAGTGGGCCTTGAGTTTAGAGTGTGGGCAAGAAGGATCCCAGAGGCAAGCACTTTGCTCAAGGCGACACAGCTAATAAAGCTCAGGGGTCCAGCACATTCTCCCGAGGCCCAGGCCAAGCCGTTTAGGGCCATGCTGGTTCTGCCCCATCCGCTGCGGATCCTGCAAACATTTTCATCAATAAAAAAATAATTAAAAGAAAAACAGAATTAAAATGGTACCCGAATGTCCTCTAATGAAATGAAGGGGAAAAATCCATCTCCGGCTTATAGTGAGAGTCACTCAATGAGAGCCTGACTCACTGAAATTCATACAAGATTAATGTAACCAAGTTCCCTGTCTTTTGTCACCGGTTTACAGTAACAGCAGGCCACTCATGGCCAGCTCTGGAATGTGTTAGGACATTTGCATATTACCTTTCAGTGTGATATCTGCTAAGTCAAATGAAGAAGTCTTGAAAGATGCCTTCTAAGTTTGGAAGTATTTGAGTGTCACATTCCATAAGCCAGCAGCTAGTTGTTGCCCTCAAAACATAAAGTTTTGTTTGTTCTTTTGTTTTTTGGGTTTTTTTTAGTGGATATGTCAGTGAAGTAGATTATAAACAGACACATATAAGATTTCAGAACTGTAACAAAATTAAGAAAAATCTAGTTCAATGAGGTTAGATTCTATGAAATTAATCTGAAAAGGGATAGTAGTTATGAGAAATCTTTAAAAAGTGGATATTTGCCAGAGAAACAAGCAGATACTGGAAGTTTTCTGATTAAGTTGGCAGAAATGTATGAGGGCTTAAAATGCCTTGCTTTATTTTATTAGAAGAGCTTGCCTTTTTGCAGTTTTTCTCAAGTTGGTATAAACTACTCTCTGTTATGTTGGGTGGTGCCTGAATAGTGAGAAGCCAAAATGATTTAGTTCTTTTCAAAGAAGAAAGTATAGACTAGCTTATTTTAATAACCCAGTCCCAATTATAAAAAGAAAAGCTTTACCACTCTAATCTCTGGCATAGAGAATGTTCTCTTTTTCAGTTGACATTAGGGGTAAAGAAAACCTTGGCTTTGAAGTTCAGCAAGTCTTGTTTCAACCCCAGCCGCAACTGGGTGAACTTAGTCAAATTACTTAACCAGTCTTATCCTTGGGTTTTTATTTTTATCTATAAAATTTGAGTGATGTTGATGATAAGTACCACACCGTATTGCACTTTGAACGAAAAGTCTTAATTGTCAAATGAACAACTGAATTGTTTTACAGGAATAGTTCAACTTTAATAAATACTCCTGCAGAATTTCATCATGATGTTAAAATTGATGGAAGCTTTATTTTCTAAACTGAGAAACCAGTGCTCACGTGGCCTAGTTTAAGAATGAATGCTCAAACTTAATACATGTTTTAAAAAGATGTTTTGGGATATCAAATGTAAAACAATTCGTAGTTTGTGTTATTTTATTGAACAAACCCTACGCAGCACTTGGGCAATCGCAGGCACCGTTGCAGACTCGCTGGCTCCTGGCTGTGATCTCATGCCCCAATTGCAATAAGATCCTGATGAAATGGACTTCCACAAGTAGGTCAAGAATAACAATGTGCAGACCTAATTCCTCTAATTTACGGTGAACATCTCATGGTTAATCTCCTCTCCCAGCGGTCAAAGGACTCTGTATCTCTTCCTCTCAGAGCCACTCCACATGCCAAAAGGCTGACTAAACCCCTGACAGATAAGAGATTCAAGAGTGGTTCCAGCCCCCGTGGGGAGCAAAGACACTGGCTCAAAAAATGTACTGAGAACTCTCCCTTTTGCAGCTCCTCCTTTCTTAACCTTCCACAAGCAGCGGCAGTTGGATTCTGTGATTAGTCTAGACTTCAGAGTCAGCCTTCTTGGTTTCAAATTCTGACTTCAACTCTTAACGTGAAGTGACGTGGGCAAGTTGCTTAATCTTTCTGTGCCTCAGTGTCCTTCTCTGTAAAATGGGCATCATCATAATAGCACCTGCCTCATTGGGTGAGTGTGAGAATGAAGGAATTAATACATGTAAATCACTTAGACAGTGTCTGGCATAGAGGACATTCTAAAGAAAGGTTAGTTATTATCATTATATTATTATATTGGTCTGGAATTAGTTCCTGAATCCTTCTGAGATGTGATGACTCGTAAACGTAGGTTGAGTTTACTCATATTAGGGTCATCGCAACTATGCATAGCTAAAATCAAATTTTGCTTTTGAAGTTTGTTTTACCTGGAGCCCAAGAGTTGAGGGTTACGGTTTCCTTTGTCATTCCACTTGAGGGAAGCTTCTTAGTCACAACTTCCTTCTCTTTCTCTGCACTCTAGAAAAACTTCTTTTTTTTTTTTTTTGTTTTTCTTCATCCAGGCACAGAGCCCTACTGGGACTTAAATCCAAGGAGCTGAAATCTGTTTTGGGATGGGATGGAGTCACATTCTGGACCCTAGACAGAGAATTTCTAAGTTCCAGAAAGTGCTGCTTACTTTGCATTGCCTCTTCCCAACCTTTGCTTTCGAAACTCCTGGCACCAATGCTGCCAAGGCTGACGGAGCTTTCCTGAGTGGTGTCTGTTAAATGAGGTGTCAAGGAATATCTGGAAAGGCAGCCTCCAGGCCCCCAATGTCAAGACCCTTTAGAACTGAAAGTGTCCTAATATCGGGGCACAGGCAATAAGCATTATTTATTATTCAGCCTGAGAAACTGATGCTAAAATAGGAGGAAATCATTCAATTATTTCCTGTCAAGGGATTACTCAATGTTGTTTTTATGTTTAAATATTTATTTGTCAACATCAAGAATTCTTAGGACATGATGCATCAGCATTTTTGAACAAGTCATAGATTTGACCACAAATCAAATTTCAGGATGGGTGGAGTGTCTCTGCTTTAAAATAGAAGAGAGTGAGTAGTCTAGGAGGAGGGAGCTACACAGACTGGAAACTATTCTTAGCTCCGTCACTGACTCCAAGTTCATCCCCTCTGTCTGTCAGTTTGGGTAAGCATCAATTAGTTATCTAAAATTTGTAATCAAAAAGTCTTCATCATTCATGATTGTGTTATCTTTATGTTTGTAAATTTCTATGTTGCTTCTATTCCTCCCCTTATATTTTAAGAAAAGAAGTAAGAAAGTAAATGATTATTTTTCTGAAGGAAAAAATAAATGTATTTATTATTATTCACAGACCTTCAACTATTCTTAGAAAGCCTTTGGTGACTCCTGGGAACAAGCTGAGTCAGGAACAAAAGTTTGAGGGTTTGGGGTTGAGCATAGGACAATTGCTTGGCTAATGCTTTAGTCTAGTTCTGACTTTGCTACTCCTAAGTTGCTTTGTGATGACTACTTGCACATGTGTCTGTTTCACAAGATACAATGTATTTTCTAAAGCTACTGAATTTTATGGTTTTTTTTTTTTTTTTTCAAAAATAGAAACTCATATTCTTTCCTTCTTAATTAAGTTTCTTTCAGGACATTCTCATGAGAGTGGTAAAATATAACTGTGAAGTAGCATGATAATTGTGAAATAGCATGATCATTGTGAGAGCTGTATGACCTGAAACTTCTATAGGAATAAGTGCAATACCGCATATCTGAAACCTGCTGTTATATCTCTTTGCACTTAATGAAATATGTGTTGATCGATTCATTCTCCTGGGTGGTGCTGAGAAAGTAAAAATCATGGCTGATAAAAATTCCGTTTATGGTTTTGTCTAATTTATTTTTCAGTTAAGATATAGGCTACTCTTCCCAACTCAGCCTTGGAGAGCATCATCAACTGCCTCATGTGTGGTGACCTTCACTGTCGTATGCCAGTGACTCATCTGGAGTAATCTCAACAGCCAGTTACCAACACTTGCTCTTGATTGATAAACAGAGAATGGGGCTTTGGATCTTAGCAATTCTCACAATTCTCGTGTATTCCACAGAAGCGAAGTTTAGTAAGTATTGCCTTTTAACTATAATTTAAATTTTTATAAATTAAATAATTTCAAGAACATTTACCTTGTTTTAAGCAGCGTGCTTCCAATTGTTCCAGTTGAATTGTAAACTGAAAAATATATTGTTTTTGTACGATCATTATTCATTACAAATCTATCAGAAGAAATTCTTTGTAATGAATGTATCATCAGTTTGGCTTCACATATTCAAATGCAGCAGAATTTAACATGGTGCCTGCACATGGGAAGTGTTGCAGATGTTTATTGACTAACACAAAGTTTGTTTAGATAGATATGACTGCCTTTCCACCGGAGAACTGTGAGGGGTTTAGCTCCAAATTAATTCATTAGCATTTCATAAGAGATCTTAATCAGTTACTTATTCTTTCCCAAAGTATCACAGTATATGACTGGCTTCTAAATTTAATCCTGGAAGCAAATATTGAGAGGATAGGAATTATGATCTTCTCATTTGATCATTTCAGGATCGTCTTTATGTCTTTTATTTGCAGGTAAACAGTCGTGGGGCCTGGAAAATGAGGCTTTAATTGTGAGATGTCCTAGACAAGGAAAACCTAGTTACATCGTGGATTGGTATTACTCACAAACAAACAAAAGTATTCCCACCCAGGAAAGAAATCGTGTGTTTGCCTCAGGCCAACTTCTTAAGTTTCTACCAGCTGAAGTTGCTGATTCTGGTATTTATACCTGCATTGTCAGAAGGTATTGTGCGGAGAGCTCCCATCTTCTTTCACCCTGCTCCCCTTTCTTGAATGGTTGATTGCCTGAGCTGCCCTTGCTTTCATTCCTTCCCTAGTCTTTTCTGGAACAGTTAAATTTACAAAGCGATTTGAATAAAAGTGATTTGGATAAACTTCTAGGAATACTATCAGGTTGAGGTCTAGCTCATTTTGAGCTATTTGGATTTACAGTTGCAGGGATTAATTTGTAACTGACTTAGAGAAAAACCTAGCTTTCCTAGTGACCAAGATAACTGAGAGCAATTGCTTACATTTGGCTGGAATTAAGAACAAACTAGAGCAGAAGATAGTAATCTGAATGTTTTCCATCTCAGGGGTCCTCTAGTGGGTGAAAAGGGGCAATGACCAATGCTTTGAACCTCCAAGTTAAGCCACAGAAGGCTGATGAGATTGTGTGCCTAAAAATTACTCTTGTTCACAAATTGTTAAATGTTTTGATTTTGTGATTGTATTTGGCACACACAAAATGTCAAATGAACGACATCAAAAGGCAGGATGTATTAGTTAAGGGCCTAGGTCTGAGGCCAGACAACGGTCCAATTCATGCTCTGCCACTGGTTAACTGTGTGACGTCAGCAAGTTACTTCTCTGCCCTTTAGTTTCCTTCTCTGTAAAATGTATATAATGTAATAATAGAATTCATCTCAAAGCATTACTGTGAAAATAAACTAAGGTAATGGGGAAAAGTGCTCAACATTGTTACTGGTACATAGTAAACTCTCAATAAATAGTGGTTATCTTTATTACACTGGGATTACAGCGTTACAGCAGATGTAGTATATGAATAAATGGCAAAGAAGTCATTGTTAGGGCTGCTATGGGGGCTATGTTTTTAGCTCAAATGTAACCAAAAAGTATTTAAACTCTAGATTTTCATGTTTATTTTTAAATAAGAAAATAACCATTATGTATATTGATGGTTTTTAAGAAGAAAAGCAATATTAAGTAAAGGCTAAATTTAGGTTAAGTTATTTCACAATGCTAAGTGACTCTTAATTTTCGGATTTATTTTAATAGTCCCACATTCAATAGGACTGGATATGCGAATGTCACCATATATAAAAAACAACCAGATTGCAACGTTCCAGATTATTTGATGTATTCAACCGTATCTGGATCAGAAAAGAATTCCAAAATTTACTGTCCTACAATTGACCTCTACAATTGGACAGCACCTCTTGAGTGGTTTAAGGTAAGAGGAAATTTGGAAGGAAATAGATGAAAATTACACAATTAAAATAGACACAAGTGGCCAGGCACAGTCACTCACGCCTCCAATCCCAGCACTTTGGGAGGCCAAGGCAGGCAGATCACTTGAGGCCAGGAGTTCGAGACCAGCCTGGCCAACATGAAGAAACTCCATCTCTACTAAAAATATAAAAATTAGCTGGGCATGGTGGCACACACCTGTAATCCCAGCTGCTTGGGAGGCTGAGGTACGAAAATCACTTGAACCCAGAGGGCACAGGTTACAGTGAGCCCAGATTGCACCACTCACTCCAGCCTGGGCAACAAAGATTCTGTCAATAAATAAATAAACAAAAGTGAAGAATTACTGAAAAGGAAATGAAATTTCTCATTTCAGAATTGTCAGGCTCTTCAAGGATCAAGGTACAAGGCGCACAAGTCATTTTTGGTCATTGATAATGTGATGACTGATGATGCAGGTGATTACACCTGTAAATTTATACACAATGAAAATGGAGCCAATTATAGTGTGACGGCGACCAGGTCCTTCACGGTCAAGGGTGAGCTACCAACATTAATGAGGTAGAATACTACTGGAAAGAAGTCAAAGTGGGAACAGTTGTGCCCTTCTGGTTGGGTTTCTTGCACTTCACCCTCCTCCCTCTACTTCCTCCTGCTCCATCTTATCTTATACATTCTGAACTATGACGCAAAGAGATTTTCTGAATGCACTATCAAGATTTAAGAAATTTCAGGGGGAATTACATTACTAATTCAAAGCCACATCTATTCTTGATTCTTTTTTTGTGACTTAATTTTTCAAAGATAAAGCAGTCTGAATTCTAACTTAACTTACTTTTTTTGAATGGCAATACAAAATTTGCCATTCAAATTTTGGAGAGCAAAACCAACTTTTTTTTTTTCTAGTTTGGTTTCAGAGTTTCTGCAAATTAAAAAGAGAAGAATTTACTCTTTAGTAATACTCACTGGATTCAAAGTTTAATGAGAGGCTTTATGATGCGATACTATGGTATACATAAATGTTATTGCGTGGATTTTAATCCATGTTTGCAAAATACTTTCAATATCATCAGTGGCCTTGAGTAGTTCACTTCATTCTAAAAATGTGTTTTCCAAGTTGTCTTAAATTTTATAAAAGCCTATTTAAGGGAAAGACTTCACGATCATAGCTTATCAATCTGTAAATAACTGGGGTCTCCTTAGCACAAGTTGATCTACATACGTTGATGAAATAGCCTCTTAACGTACGATAGTTTTTTTAGGGCAAAGCAATATTGGAGACAATTTTTTGGAGTTTTCCAATACTTCACTGCAGCACTGCAAAATAAGCATCACCAGACCACATTCCTATTAGTGTCTCTTTCTGTTTAATAGCAACCCTTACAGTGGTCCTTAATCACACTGTCCTTAAATAAATGAGCATGAAGGGATGGAGGATTGCAGCAGCGCTCCACAAGCACTGCCAGTCTTTCAGCCCTGGTTGTCCCAGGAGTCAGAATTCCATACAGGGAAGATTTCCCTGAGGATGGGCCACCCTAGTGGAGAACTGCGAGCAAATCTGTGGACTCATCCATTTATTGTTTTCAGAGGTCTTTTGAAATCTTCCCTGTAGTCTTATTCTGTAGAAGTGTAGTTTTCTAACAATTACTAGGTCATGTAATTCGTTTTATGGGTTGGACCTGCATTTGTTTTAGTGATGTCAAAGAGAATACAGATATTACAAAGCATCATAGGTAATAAAAGAAAGCTTTATTTAAATGCTTTTCTGTTGTGTGTGTGTGTGTGTGTGTGTGTGTGTGTGTGATTATGGGTTATTGTCAGAAGAATTTGAAAAACATTGCTATGAAATAGAATAGAAGCATGAAGATACAAACTTATATTGAGTAGCATTCAATGCTCCCCTAATATTTATATTTCTTTTTGTCTTTAAGATGAGCAAGGCTTCTCTCTGTTTCCTGTAATCAGAGCCCCTGCACACAATGAAACAAAGGAAGTGGAAATTGGTAAGAAAATTTATCAGAATGCTGTAAATATTACCTGGAAAATCCTTCCATATGACTCCTGTTCTGAATTCCCTTAGCAGGGGTCAGGCAATTAGCATAGGGAACCTTGAGGGGTAAGTGAGGTGACATCCCTGGAAGCACCTGCCCCAAGCATTTGCTAATATTGGGAACCAGGACACAGCAATTGCAGTGTTTACATTTGTTTATTGCATGTTGTAATTCATGGTGCTTTCATGTATGCATCTAATTTCATCTTCATCTCTATCCCAGAGCTTGGGGTGGAAACCTGCAGAGTGTCCATTCTGGGCAATGGTAGCCAGGTCTGGTAAAACACATTTATATTCAAAGGTAGCTTATGGAGAGAGGAAGAGAGTTCTGTAGAAAGACTGTGGAAGAGAGCAGTTGGAAAGAAACTCTAATTTCTAGTAAAGGGCAATCCTTTTACTAGAAATCCTTTATAAAGTGGGGTTGGTGAAGCCAGAATCATTGGCCTTGTTAGTTTCCCATGCAGGTGGGTGAATGAGAAACCCAGCTGGGTGAATGAAAGTAATGGGAGCCGGGAGGAGGTAAGAGAGGACATAGAAAGAGGAAGATGCTAGAGATGAGGGAGGGAGGTCCCAGCGGGGTGCATACTAAGTGTTCAGTAAGTTTTTTTTTTTTTTTTTTACATTAAATGGGATAAAATGCTAGTCGCAGAAGTTAATTTTATTGGTGAATGTCCTTACTCCCCTCTAGGAGAAAACACAAACCTAACTTGCTCTGCTTGTTTTGGAAAAGGCGCTCAGTTCTTGGCTGCCGTCCAGTGGCAGCTTAATGGAAAAAAAGTTACAGACTTCGGTGAACCAAGAATTCAACAAGAGGAAGGGCAAAATCAAAGGTATTTTTATATCGAAGAGAACCATCCTCTTCCCCTTGCACATCGTTTGCACGTGCAAAGTAGGCATTACAAGTAACAGGTTGCTTTCTTAGTTTCAGCGACGGGCTGACTTGTGTAAACATGGTTTTAAGAATAGCTGATGTAAAGGAAGAGGATTTATTGCTGCGGTACGACTGTCTGGCCCTGAATTTGCATGGCTTGAGAAGGCACACCATAAGACTAAGTAGGAAAAATCCAAGTAAGGAGTGTTTCTGAGACTTTGGTCACCTGAATTTTCTGTAGCAAGGGTAAGCGGAATGGAGTGTGGTTCCGAGAGATCCATCAAGACAATGGGAATGGCTTGTGCCATAAAATGTACTTCTCTTCTTTGGGATGCTGTTTGCTATCTGGTCTTTGTAGACTGTTCCTGTTTGCTGGGAGCTTCTCTGCTGCTTAAGTTCCTCCTCCTTCCCCACTGCCTCCTATGGTTGGTTTCTCTACAACACTCAGCTGCTTCTTTGGTCATCCTTGTTTTCTAACTTTATGAACTCCCTCTGTCTCACTGTATGTGAAAGAAAATGCACCAACAACAGTAAACTGAACGTGTTCTTTTGTGCTCTTTTGTAACTTGTGTTACCTGTTGTAAACATGGTTCCTTCTATACCTTTTTCTGGTCATAATGAACACTCATTTTGTTAGTGAGGGTGGTAAAGTGAACAAAAAGGGGAAGTATCTAACTACTGCCATTTCAGTGAGAAAATCCTAGGTGCTACTTTATAATCAGACACTTGTTAGACCATTCTTGCACTGGTATAAAGAAATGCCTGAGACTGGGTGATTTATATGAAAAGAGGTTTAATTGTCTCACGGTTCTGCAGGCTGTGCGGGAAGCATGGCGGCATCTGCTTCTGGGGACACCTCAGGAGCTTTACTCATGGCAGAAGGCAAAACAAAGGCAGGCACTTCAAACGGTGAAAGCAGGAGCGAGAGAGACAGAGGTGACGCACTTAAACAGCCAGATCTCACGAGAAGTCACTCACTATTGCAAGGACAGCATCAAGGGGATGGTAGTAAACCGTTCATGATGAGCTTACCCCCATGGTCCAATCACCTCCCATCAGGCTCCACCTTGAATACTGGGGATTACCATTCAGCATAAGATTTGGGCAGGAACACAGACCCAAACCATATCACACACATTATGACTGTTAAACTTTATAAAGTATTTAAGGTACATGGAACACATGGGAAGTCTGGTAGCTCAGCCCATTTCTTTATTGCATCTGTTATTCACCATGCAATTCAGGTACCACCTATGCCAGGGAACTTTTCTTGGCCCTCAGTTTGCGGTATACATGCTTTCTAAGTACTCTTGTAGCATCCTGTTTGTATCGTAGCACTGGTCACCTTGCCTTGCCAAAATCTGTTTGACAGTCTGCTCAACATGACTGCAAGCTCCATGAGGGGAGGGACATCATCTCAACCATCTTTGGGTCCTTAGCACAATACCTGGCAGCTAGCCAGTGCTCAGTTAAATATTTTTTGACCAAATAAACGAATGCACAACCAAGGTTTTGATACCAAATGTTTTTTTGTGTACATTTCTACTTCTCTAGCTATAAGGCTTAATTATACAACAAAATACTATTTTTATATTTATGCTTGGTAAATTCAATAACTTTCTCCATCAATTGGAAAGTGAAATTGTTTATTGCTTCCCTATAGTTTTTTTCTGAATCTAGCAGGATTTTAATGATATCATCATAATTTGACACAATAAAAGGATAACATGAAACTGATGAGTCTTTATTGGGTTAATTTCAGATGCTATATAATCTTTTAAAATGTAACATTCTTTTTTATATATAAATAATTGGTGGCTTCACAAATAGCCAAAGCAGGGTGGAGAGAGTGATCCCTCCTGGGTGCACACAAGAAGGGGATATGTCTACAGAGTTTTCAAAACAGTAATAAACCTGTCTACAAGTCATTGTGCTTTTTATCATCACCATGCCCAGATAATGCGAAACATCAGAGATGAAGTTCTTCTCCCACAAAGGTGGACTGATCCTTCTCCCCACTTGCTTGGTGTGTCTCCGTTGTGTCCAAGACAATGCAATGTTGTCTTGGAAAATAGCTTTCCAAGCATTTCACTTGGAAACTGAGCCCTTGTCAGTTTCCTCACTTATTCTTCGCATATCCAGGCAAAGACATCCTGTTTGCTATACGAAGCATTGTATCCCGTATAAAAGGAAGGAGAGAGAAAAATATATTTTTTTACACTCATCACTCCTCAGGGGCTGTACAACCATGTAGAAATTGTTTAACATACTTGTCAAATAGCCAAAGAAAGTGTTAAATCCTGAGTTCCCACCTATATGTGCAGTATGGTCCAGATTCATCCAGATACACACAGAGAGGCACAACAGGAGGAGAAAGGATTGGGGTGTGGGGACAGCAGGCCCCCAATATGGTGTAATCGTGGCAGGTCTCTGCCTGAAGTGGTATGTGGGGTTTTTCTTGTTTTAATTTTGACTTTAACCCCCGATTTGTAAGTTTTTCATAAAATAAACAGAATCATAACTCATGCAGATGGCTATAAGTGCCATAGTGTTCTGTGGGTCTCTGGTGTCTGCCAGTGATAAATGTGGCACCTCAGGAAGGCTGTGGACCCCGTCAAGGTGCTATGTGACGGCCATGCTTGGGGTGGTGGTGGGCCCTGTGGACCCTGCAGCCATCCATCCAGCCTGCCCACCCACGCTGCCCTTGTGTCCTCCTGCTTTGCTACATTATCATTGATCAATGTCCCTGCTTACCGACGTGTTGGAATTGTTTTCGTGTTACAGGTGTTCAGTGATTTTGCTCCTTCTAGCTTATTTGTATGTCACCTGTTTTTCTTTAAGTCAACATGGTTACAGTCTGTTTCAGCAACTGTATAAATTAAACACAAATTATTACTACTGCTGTTGAGTTGTCATGATGAATTCTTTTTTATTTCTGAAATGATAGCGTTTCTTGAATTTAAGAGAGCAAAAACATAAAAGTCCTGTGTCCCCATTTTATTAACTATTACTAAATACATATTTGATGCTCATGATAATAATAGTACACATATATTCATTATTTCCTGTGTACCAGGACTCATCTGCTTATTTTACGTTTAACTTTCTCGTTTATTTTCTCAATACTTCAAAGTAAAAGGCAAAGAAAGTTGGATAACTTGCCAGATACCACAGTTATGGAGCAAGGATTCAAACACAGCCAGCATTTTGCTATTTATATGGGTATACAGAAAGTAATGTTTTGTCATCACATACCTGAATTACTTATATTTTTATAAAATAAATCACACAAAGACTCCCTTTGAGGTCTTGGATCAACATCTTTCTTTTGCTTGGAAGCGTCCAGCCACCGGCATGGTTACTTCCCAGCAATCCCCACAGGAAGTACGCGTTCCTCTGTGCATCCAGCTGGGGTTTTTAGACAGAGTGACCTGGAAAGGAATCCTGTTGAAACAATTTACTTAACAGAGTTTTCATTATTTAACCTGATGACAGTAAACTCTGTCAATTTTCACATTTTTCCCCCAACTTTGAGTCATATCACCTTGATAATTCTTGATTTCATACTGCTGGTCACTGAGAGAGCTGATAAACTATTAGAGGTTGTGGAGGAATTTGTGAATATGGGCCAGTGCTTTTTCTACCTCAGAACTGGGAGCCCATGCATGGAGACTTAAGATGGAAATGAACCATATCAGCAAATCCCATTTGAGATTCTTCTCACATTCGTCAGTGCATATGGGTGTTGCATCTGCATTTTGTGAAGCAAGGAATACTAGGATAAAGTTCAGTGTTGGCTGAGTAATGTTCACCATGAGAGAAGTATGGGCCATGAGTAGGACCTAGAACTTGGTAATTTGACTTTTGAGTTCTTTATCAAAGATGCTTTAGCCACTTAGGTGACTCTTGCTGCTTCTTCTATCTCCCACACCACCAAGCCCTTAGAGGTAACAAGTCTCTCAGACCTGTCGATGCCTTCTCCTTAATGCCCTGACGGTACTTTATCTATTCCTTTCTCATTATTGCGTGAGTTACAACCCTCTGCATTTTGCATCCCGAGTACCACACTCCATTCTTTTCTGAGTGCCCATAGTTTCTTTCCACAGAAACACACTTTCTACTACCATCAGATTAATCTCATGGGAAAACCACTCAAGGCTCCAATGCTCCTGTGACCTTCAGAATAAGGCAGTCTGACTTAGTTGGGGTTTCAAGTCTGGACAGAACCTGGCCCTGGCCAACCTTCCTAATCATATCTTCCACCAATTCCCCAAACTAGGTTATTCCAATTCCTCAGAAAACACACTTCCTCTCTGCACTTAGGCTTATGGTATTCTCTTTGCCCACGTGGGCATTTCCTTTTTTGCATCTCCCTGAATCCTACTCATCTTTCAGAGGCCTCCTCCTCCTCCAGGAAGGCTCCCTTGCCCAGTCCTGCATGGAGCAAGTTCTCCTTCTAAAATCCTCTGCCAGCAAAAATCATGCTTTTGCCTCCCATCTTAGTTACGTTGACGAGTATCTCTGTGCCTCTTTTGCCGTTGAGAATTCCCTGTAATGCTTAGCCTGATATGTTTTAGAGGCTCAATAAATGTGAATGTCCTGGTACTTAAAGCAGCCATGAAAATTCTCAGTGGGTATATCTTACATGAAATTCTTGTACTCCCAAGGGAAGCCAGCATCCATGTATCTGTTTATTAAATCTTGTTTCAGTAGTAATAATAATTATTTTTCTTTCTTTTGAATAGTTGATCATCAAAGCACCTACTGCATAATTGCAGTATGTAGTGTATTGTTAATGCTAATCAATGTCCTGGTTATCATCCTAAAAACGTTCTGGATTGAGGCTACTCTGCTCTGGAGGGACATAGCTAAACTCTACAAGACCAGGAATGGTAAGTGGCAAATACCAAGTTTTCCACTCAAAGAAAAAGTCACATAATAACTGTTGGTTACTTGTCTATTAATTTTTCAATAGCTATGCTGCTAAACCCAGATTCCATTTTGCTTGCTAATCTGTTATCAGTGAGTTGTGTTTTTGGATTTTCTTAGAGGCCATTTTCCATCCTGCTCTGTAACTCCTCATGGTCCTGAGATTCATCTCAACAGCTCACATTTCTTCCCCGATAGGATTGCTATTCCTACTCAGTTACCAATGACAGAATCTGCCCCACGCCCAGAAAGGTGTAAGTTTCATAATGTATTGGTAAGATATTATGAAGTTAAACACAGTAGCAAAATTGTTCCTGTTTTCCAGATATTAGCAGGTTAGAAAGGTCCGTCAGAATGCATGTGTGTTCTACCTGAAACCCTGATCTGTAAAGTCTAACCTAGGCACACAAACATGCTCATGAAAGGAGTCAGTTCTGCCTGCTAGATGCAAACCTCATGCTTTCGTTTGGAGGCAGATACACGTTGCATTTTTCAAACAGTTGACTCAAGTAGGAGCTAACGGTTTGATTTGTGGAAAATTCAGACCCCTTAAAAAATTCTATGCCCTTGCTACTATTAACTTTAAATTTTTTCACTTCCCCAGGGGAGTATGGGGAAACCAAAGATGAAACTAAGGTCTATCCAGCGCAGAAGGTCCCCTTGTTCATAGATTATTAATCAACATTGATGAAATGGTTTTAACTGCACTGGAAAGGCTCTTGTCCACTTTTTTGTTATTTAGTCTGTGACAGTAAAAAGGAGAAATACTTTGGGATGAAGACTGTTATTTCCTGATCATGTTTTGTGGCAGTGGTTTGGTCGTCAACATCTCTTGAGTCTAGAACATTTTGGAGGATGACACGCATTCACCAACAGCTATAAAACTTGGAGAGCAATGTCTTCGAAGAGTCCAGTGAGAATTTTTAGAATCAAGTAAGAAGTTGTACTTCTTGTTTTCATTTTCAGATGGAAAGCTCTATGATGCTTACGTTATCTACCCACGGAACTACACATCCAGTACAGATGGGGCCAGTCGTGTAGAGTACTTTGTCCACCAGATTCTGCCTGATGTTCTTGAAAATAAATGTGGCTATACCTTATGCATTTATGGGAGAGATATGCTACCTGGAGAAGGTAAAGCTATCGACATACATTAGGGACAGAAATTCATGCTTATTAGAGGCTGTGAACTAGGTGGCCTTATCCCTGCATTGGATAAGGAATTGCATTTACTACCTCAGACCTTAAGACCAAAACTTTAAATATTTATCCAGGAGCAGACACTTATCCTTCACTCTTCCCTCTCCCATCATTGCCCCGGTGATGAGATCTTCACAGTAATGTCAGTGGTGTGAATTCAGAGTTAGAAGTCCTGTGCTTCAAGGACTTAGTAAACCATCATCCCTACTTTATTTCCTTGGTCTCCCACCAGGATAACTGTGCCACTTCTTAATTCTGTCCATAAGATTTGAAAGAGGACTTAAACATTGAAGAATTTTGTTCTGGTAGCCATAGGCACTAGCTGAAATACCTTAAAAGGACTCAGAGAGTCTTCATGACTTTCTTTATGTTGGTGAAACATTTGCAAATTTATATTCTCACCAGAACAAATAGAATTGTAGCTTCTGTTCCTTAATATTCCTACCCAATTTTATATATTTTTGACAGTTTTATCACAACTCCTGTGATTTCAGTAGTTATTTTCCCTTCCCTTCATACATTTATGTCCAGTACCTATGGACCCTCCTTGTGAACTCTTCTCTAATTTCTCACAGATCAGGAAGAGTTTGGAATATAAATGGGGCTCAGATATCAAGGGCCTAAGCCTAATAAAGTAAACATTCAGTTTTACATTTTAAACTCATCTTACTAAGAAGAGGAATTCACATGCCTATAGATGTAAAGGTATGAGCAACAGGTGAATTTGGTTTACCCTGGAATATCTGGGAATGCTCATAGCCTCAATAATGGCTCAAGAGACTGGTGAAAGGTACAGTTTAGGAAAATATAATGCACTTCTTCTCTCGAGGCTCTCTTCTCCCATTTTCCCACTGGCCACCCAGGCAGATAGAAGTAATGAGTAATGCTCTCAAACACTCTTTTCATATTACAAATGTACTCAAGGACCTGCGGGGACTCCTGTTGTTTGTGAGCTCAACAGTGTGCCACATCTGGCCACAAGCTCTTCACCTCTTCTTTCTCAGTCCATCCACCTAAGTTCTAGTTACACTTCTCCCCAGCTAAACCCAGATGCTAGCTCTCTCACACTCAAGCTTGTGCTGCCTTCAATGTGTGACAACATACTAATCTGGAATGGTTTTCTACTTCCCTCCATCAGTGCATGTCCTCTGACTTTTCCTCAACCAAAATAAAATGAAACCCAACAAAACACCACCAAACTTCACTCTTTGCTTAGCAAAGTTCATGACTGACTAAGGTGCTATCTTTATTCTCATGAGACTTATCTTGCATTTGCCCCACCAAAATCCTCTCTGCATCACCACTCCATCCAGTGGCCCTGGGTGGCTGATCATCATGGAAGCCATTGCACCCTTGTCCTCTGCTCCAGGCTGGGTTTAGCCAATGGGAGGCACTGGCAGGAGGTCAGAAGGTGGTCATGTACCTGCCCCTCCAGGTGGGGCTTCTGGAGCAGCTGTGCTCCTCCCTCTGGGAGCACCTCTTCTCAACTGGCCTGCCTCACGCATCTGCAATTCCTCAGACACCAGTCTGTCAGAATATCTTGGGTTGTTTTATTCATTGTTGTGCTTTCTTCTGTTGCAGTGAGGATTTCATGTTCTTTCTAAGTCCAACCAGAGTGAATTGGAATCACCATGGAGTCTATGCTCTATAAACACCAAAAAGGAAAGGGGATCCATTGTCCCTTACGATTTTTCTAGTCTGGATCAAATCCATTTCTACAACAGAGATTAATGGGGGGTGAAGTGAAGTCAGGACTTACTTTCCTAGAGACTTGGGTCAATTTTGAGGGGCAGAGCTTCCTGAGTTTGTGCTTTTAAATATGTGAGTTAAATTTTTAAGCCATTTTAAAACATATAAGCAAATATTCTAAGAAGATAATATGTATCTAATGAACCAGAATTCTAAGTCTCTAATGCAGCAGTAGACTAAATATCTTTACATTCCCATTTACCTAGAAGGACTCTGTTTTAGTTAAGACTAAGCTACCTGGGAAATAAAAAGATGACATTGGGGTTGATATTCTCTCAAATGAAAGGAGCACAAAGTAAAAAATGGGTTCTCTATTCACGTATATTTCCACTTCTCTGAATAAGTGACTTGATTGATGTCAGAGAATCTCACACCAGATTATAACAGTAAGACTTTTAAATGTTCAGGATGTTTATGTTTCCAGCATTAGACTGATACGTAATCTTATCTATTTCTTGTATGACTAGATGTAGTCACTACAGTGGAAACCAACATACGAAAGAGCAGGCGGCACATTTTCATCCTGACCCCTCAGATCACGCACAGCGAGGAGTTTGCCTACGAGCAGGAAGTTGCCCTGCATAGTGCCCTCATCCAGAACGACTCCAAGGTGATTCTTATTGAGATGGAGGCTCTGAGCGAGCTGGACACGCTGCAGGCTGAAGCGCTTCAGGACTCTCTCCGGCATCTCATGAAAGTGCAGGGCACCATCAAGTGGAGGGAGGACCACATTGCCAATAAACGGTCCCTGAATTCCAAATTCTGGAAGCACGTGAGGTACCAAATGCCTGTACCAAGCAAAATTCCCAGAAAGGCCTCCAGTTTGACTTCCTTGGCAGCCCAGAAGCAATAGTGCCTGCTGTGGTGTGCAAAGGCATCTGAGTTTGAAGCTCTCCTAACTTCTCCTAGCTGGCTCATGCCCCTGCACTGAAGTGTGAGGAGTAGGGATGTCAAAGGGATCCGGCCTCAGGTTTTATCTGGTAACTTTGCTTCCATTTCCCTGACGCTGGGTGGATGCAAAATGCACAGAATTTTTTCTCCTCAATCCTCCCCCATTCTCCAGCCACCATTCCCTTTCCTTTTCCTTTTTGCTTGACTCTCTTCACTGTGGTGTGGGATGTTTTCACTATTCTCTTTTCCTCTCTCTCTGTCTTGCTTTGTTGCTCCTGACTCTTTGTCAATAATCTGAAGAGCAAACTAATCATTCGACAGTAGATTTTCACATCATCTTGAAGAACATTCTGATTCCCTCAGGCTGAATGTCAGTCGTAAATCTTGTTCCCAACATGCCAGAATTTATTTTATATATTTATATGTATATCTCAAAGGTGCATGCTACCGTTTTTACTCCCAGCTAATTTTGGGGGTATTTATTTATTTTTTATTATTTTTTTTATTTTTAGTAGAGACGGAGCTTCACAATGTTGGTCAGGCTGGTCTGAAACTCCTGACCTCAAGTGATCCACCCGCCTTGGCCTCCCAAAGTGCTGGGATTACAGGCATGAGCCACCGCACCCGCCTATTATATTTTATTTGAGTGGATACTCAGTCTCATCATCTCAATATTGTTAATTTTGTTGGAATACCTTATCCCCATTGCCATTATGATCAAGCTTTTTTTCAATTCTAAAATTCCTTTCATATACTTTTATTCTATTTAGAAATATTTTCTCCCTATAAAAGTGATAGAAGGATATTATGGAAGAAAAGAAAATATAAAAGAAGAAAATAATAGGAATCACTCATAAATCCATCATTTTAAGGTTTAAATTTTCTTTTTTTACAAAAGACTTTATGGCAGGTTGCGGTGGCTCATGCCTGTAATCCCAGCAGTTTGGGAGGCCAAGGCAGGCGAATCACTGGAGGTCAGGAGTTGAGACTAGCCTGGCCAATATGGTGAAACCCTGTCTCTACTAAAAAATACAAAAGTCAGCCTGATATGGTGGCACGTGCCTGCAATCCCAGCTACTCGGGAGGCCGAGGTAGGAGAATCAATTGAACCCAGGAAGCGGAGGTTGCAGTGAGCCGAGATCATGCCACTGCACTCCAGCCTGGGCAACAGAGTGACAGCCCTCTCAAAAACAAACAAACAAACAAAAATTTGTTTTACACATATCATTTTTGTAGCTGAGATGATACCATGTGGAGTTTTGCGAACATCATAATAAAAATGTGGCATGTCACTGAAACGTTTTAAAACATTTAAAAATATTCATAGTGTTCCATCTCCCAGTTGTACTACACGGATGCAACTTAAATATCTACCCTGGTAAATTCTACAACAATCCTATTTTTAAAATGTATTTCAAATTTGAGACTATTTTGTTGTAACATTTCTGTGAAGGTAGTAGGGCATTTTGAGAAAACCGTTTTGGCAAAATAGAGTTAATTTATAGTCAGGGCCACTTTACTCAGAGCACTGAAGGAAAGCACACACCCTTGGGGGTTGCAGGACTGGATCCAGAGCTACTGCGAGTGTCCCCTCAGATAGGAATCCTGTTGGTGCTTCAAATTTTGTAAGTGGATGGAGCGCTTATCTCAGTTGAACTGCTTAATAATGTATATGATTCTGTATTTCACCAGCAAAAGAAAACTGAACTCTGGACTGTTTGACAGAGAGCATAATCTTGAACTCATTGTCATTCAATACCTTTCAGAATCCGTACTAAGAGAAATCATATCTCTAGAAGATTCCTTATGGTTACTCATTTGTCTAGGTACCTATACCTTTAATCTGTACCCCCAGATTGGGTTGCTAGGTAAAATACAGGAAACCTGTGTTAAAATATCAGGACAGGCCTGTAATCCCAGCACTTTGGGAGGCCGAGGCGGGCGGATCACGAGGTCAGGAGATCGAGACCATCCTGGCTAACAGGGTGAAACCCCGTCTCTGCTAAAAATACAAAAAAAAAATTAGCCGGGTGTGGTGGCGGGCGCCTGTAGTCCCAGCTACTCGGGAGGCTGAGGCAGGAGAATGGCATGAACCCGGGAGGCGGAGCTTGCAGTGAACAGAGATTGCGCCATTGCCCTCCGTCCAAAAAAAAAAAAAAAAAACAAATATCAGGATACCTGTTAAGGTTGAATTCAGACAATGAACTTTCATATGAAGACCTAAAACTCAGTTTTGGCTGGGGATCTTTGCTAAATCTGGCTACCTTACTTCTGTAGATTACCATTTGGTTTTGTTGAATTACTAAAATATTGGTCAATGAAAAGGGTATTGTATGGCTAACTATCATAGTATTTGGAATCAACAAGCCATCCTCTGTAGGCCTAGCAGCTGTGTGATCTTCAGCAAAGTACTTAACTTCTCCAAAGCTTCGTTTCCGTAGGTAAAATAACTATGATAATATAAAACACTTTGGATTTCTGTGCTAATCAAATGTTTAAAAAATATTTAGGCCAGAGTAAGAATTCAATAAATGGCAATAGTTATTATTACAAAACTTTACTGTGTTTCTTTTCATATTAATTCTATTCTCCGACTTCTCTCAGTGAGGACCACTAAAGAATAGATTCTCCCCAGTCTCACTGTCAGGAATGGACGTGTCTTTATTCTCGCATCCACCTAGAATGACAAGTGTGGTTTTGATTTATGGACCTAGGAAATTTTGGAATTGATTTGTTTTCCTCTTTACATTAGCTACTTGAAAACACAGAGTTCAATTTGAGATTTTTCTACAGCAGGCATATAGGACATCATTACACGGATTTTGTAATGATCTCTTTCTTGGCTCCCTAATACCTTTGTTTTTAGTTTGCCCCCATATTTCTTATTTTAAAATATGTTTTAACCATCTATATTATAAGCTCCTTTGCAAGTATTCAACGTTTACATTTTCTGAATGTGTGCTGAGTGCCTCTCTGGGAGGGATGAGAAGGAAGGTATGATGGGAGCCATGTATGTAGCCTAGGAAGGCACACTCCTTGCTAACCCTGATGGGGTGTAGAGGAATTGTGAAAACGCGCAGGGAAGAGAGAAGCACTCCAGAGACCTCATATAGGGCTGGCCTGGGGAAAACTCTGAAGTTGCTGAGTTCTTTTCTCCACTGTCCTTTTCCTAAACTTACACACCACTTCCCAAGTCACCTGAGCTCCCTGGGGCTCAGTTTCTGCAACTGAAAAATAGGAGGATGGAGAAGGTGAACCCCAAGGGCTTTCTCAGTGGCGGTGGCTCATGATTCAGGGTGTGCACTCATAATGAGGTCAGGAAACTGCCAGAAGACGTGGATTCTCACACCAGCACCACCACTGACCTCTCTTATTTCCTCCTCTGTACCGTGACGGTAATACATACTTCTGCCATACAAGCTAGCGTGAATAAAACAAATGTAGCCAAAACTTGTTGAATGTCTGCCACACAATCATGGTGAAAATAACTGTGATTGTAAGAAAAAAAATCTTACAATCTGCCACACAATCATGGTGAAAGTGACTGTGATTGTAAGAAAAAAAAATCAATTATTTTGAATTGAATCAAGTTTGCATAGCATACAATAAAACATTGATCCTAAGTATTCAGTTTGATGATTTCTGACTGTTGAACATACCTGTGTAATTATCACCCCAGATATATTTCCATCACCCCAGAAAGTTCCACCGTGCTACCAGGCAAACACGATTTTGATTTCTAACTCCACGGATTCGTTTTGTCATATCTTTATATTCGTGTCAGTAAAGTCGTATTTCTTTGGGTCTGGCTACTTCTACTCAACAATACTTTTAAGAGTCATCCATGTTTTGCATGATTCAGTAGTTCGTTCCTTTGTATTTCCTGTTGGTGAATATGTGAATTGTTTCCTGTTTTTTGCTATTATGAACATGGCTCCTATGAACATACTTGTGGACTTATGTTTTTATTTCTTTTTGGTTGACCCTTAAGGGTGGTCATTTAGTAGGTACATATTTAACTTTCAGAGAAACTTATACATTGTTTCGCAAACTAATTGTACTACTTTACATTCCCACCAGTTGTGTATGAGAGCTCTGTTGCTTCATTGTCTCATCAATAACTGGTGTTGTCAAGTTTCTTTATATTTTAATAATTTTCACGGGTGTTAGATGAATATCACCATGGTCTTAACTTGAAGTTCCCCGACTAATGATGATGAGCCCTTTCCATGTTTTCATTGGCTATTCGTATATCTTTTTTAGTGAAGGCAAAATCTTTTGCCTTATTTAAATTGTATTTCTTTTTATATTGTTGATGTGTAGGAATTATTTATGTATTGTTCTTTGCCAGATAGATGTAAAGTGAGAATATTTCCAGGGTTATGTATTCATTTTTAAGTGATATCATTGCTTAGTAGACATTTTTAATTTTGGTGATATCCAATTAATCAATTTGTCCCAAATGGCTATTGTTTTTTGTGTCCTAGCTAAGAATTTTTTTTTTGCCTGTCCAAGGGTCTTCTCTGTATTTTCATGAAATATTTACGGTTCTAGCTTTTATGTTTAGGTCCATGGTCTATGGTGAATTAATACTTGTATATAGAACAAGGTAAGGATGAGGTTCTTTTTTCTGCTGCTGCTGCTTCTGTAGAGGTACCCAGCTGTTCCATCAACATTTGTGAAAGACTGTTTTCTCCCCATTGAATTGACATGGTGCATTGTTAAAAAATCAATTGACTAGGTATGTGTGGGTCTATTAGTCTACTTTCTATTTTGCATTGTATGTTTCTGCGAATATCACATTGTCATAATTACTATTGCCTAATTATAAACCCTCAAGTCAGTATAAGTCTCTCAATTTGTTTTTGCCAAGATTATCCGGACAGGCCGGGCGCATGACTCACGCCTGTAATTTCAACACTTTGGGAGGCCGAGACGGGCAGATCACCTGAGGTAGGGAGTTCAAGACCAGCCTGACCAACATGGAGAAACCCCGTCTCTACTAAAAATACGAAAATAAGCGGACGTGGTGGTGCATGCCTGTAATCCCAGCTACTTGGGAGGCTGAGGCAGGAGAATCACTTGAACCTGGGAGGTGGAGGTTGCAGTGAGCCAAGATTGTGTCATTGCACTTACTCCAGCCTGGGCAACAAGAGTGAAACTCTGTCTCTGTCCAGACAATCCTAGATTATTTGCATTTTCATATAAATTTTAGAAAGAGCTTCTTAATTTCTTTGAAAAATGTTCCAGGGATTTGGATTGGATTGCATTAAGTATATAGACTCTGTAATATAGAGAGTCTGAAAATATACGGTGTGGAGAATAGGTGTCTTAAGTCTTCCAATCCATAAACGTGGCATATCCCTCTATTACTTAGATGTTTCATCTCTGTTAGCAATATTTTGTAGTTTTCACAGAAGATATCTCATACATTATCCAATGAATTTATACTTTGGTATTTTGACTTTTAAATGTTATGGTAAATGGCATTTTTAACAAACTTCACTTTTCAAGTTTCCATCTCTAATATATAGAATTGCTATGATTTTTTTTATATTCCATGATCTTGATAAACTCAGTATTTCCAGTAGTTTCTTTTGTAAATTTCAAAGGTTGGTCTACATATAATTATGCTCTCTGTTAAAACCAGTAGTTTTAATTCTTTCTTCTCAGTCTTTAATTTTATCTTTGTTTCTAATTTTATGCCTTCTAATTTTATCTTTATTTCTTCACTTGTTGCAAAGCAGTTGTCCCAGGTGGGAGCCAAAATCATTATCTCATCACTAATCTTAGGAAAACGCAGAATGTTTCACTATTACGAAGTTACCTGTAGGTTTCTTATAGTTGTTCTTTATCAGATTAAGAAAGGTCATTTCTACTCTCAGTTTTCTAATCGTTATTAATTCAAAAAGGGTGTTGAATTTTGTCAGATGCTTTTATTTGCATTTATTGAGATAACTACATATTTTTGTTTATTCTTTGGTGAATTATCTTGATTGGGTAAAAAGAATTAAAATCATTGTCTCATTAAACCTTTTGCCTGTCGGCTATGGGTTTTCCTTTTCCTTTTGTTTAATAACAGCTCTGCCACAAAATAAAAATCTAGAAACACACATTCCCCTTTGGCCTCCCTCCTCGGATCCTCTGCTGTGAGCGCCGGCCTGCAGGGTGCGTGCGAGCGGCCCGGGCGCGCCACCTTCCGGCCCTGCAGGTCACCCGGCACAACTGCCCAGATTTTCCCCGGGACCCGTGCCGCGCGGCTGGGGAGGAAGAGCCAGACGTCTGGGGCCCACGCCGTCCGAGGGGAAAGGGCGAGGCGCTGGGTTTTCCAGCTGCGACCTTTGGACCCCGCGATCAAGTAGCTCCGGTAACTCCACGCGGGGCGCCTGGGTGGAGGAGGCGGTTCTGGAGCATCGCTGCGAGGAGCACCCCGACCAGAGGGCCCCCAGACCGGGACCCCCAAGTCAGGGAGGACTCTCCGCCCGGGAGCGCCCCAGACCGCCACACGCCGGGACCCGGAGCTTTGCCCGACCGCGGGCATTGCCCACCTGCAGCCTCCACTGGCCGGGTTTAGCAACCAGGAGCTGCCAAACCCCTGCCATTCTTCTTTCTGTTCCTACTTCTTTCCTTCTTCTTCTTTTTTGGTTTTTGTTTTTGTAACCCTCTCTGGGTGCCTTATCTCTTTAATCACACCTCTCTTTCACTTTCCACGGTAGTCAGGAGGCGGGGATCGCTGCTTCTCACCTACTTTCCGAACTTGGCCTCCGCAGTCGCGACCTGGTGTGAAGGAGGAGCTGCTGCCCCCGCCCCAGCCTCGGGGACGCCTCTCTGAAGGTAAGGGTGGGCCCTGTTGCCACCCACACCCCCTCCCCACTCCCCCAGGGGAAGGGAAGACCACCATCCGGGGAGGGATTCTCAAAACAAGGTCAATTAAGAGAGAGAGAGATTGTGTGTGTGTGAATATGTGTGAATAATTGATGAGACAGCATGCCATCTTTCTCTGAAAGTACAGTTTTAGAAATTAAGACGTTCCCAATTGTTTTCTGGAGAGGTGAGAACAACTGAAATAAATGATAACAATAGTTGTCATTTTTTAAGTGCTTACCATGTGCCTGACACTGTAGAAAATTTTTAGATATCTTGTTTTCACTTAATCCTAAGGGCCACATGAAATAGGAACTATTATAATGCTTTTATTAATAAAAGGGAGGAGGAATTCCATCATTTATCCAAGAGTACCCAGCTACTAAGTAGTAGATCCCAGACTCACACCTACTATTTTTCTGATTCCAGAGCCTTTGTCTTTTTTCTGCCCAGCCCTGGGAAGTTAAAAAGCCCAGCAGGTTGCACTGCAGTTATCAGGCAAATTAATGAAGTGTCAAGTGCAGCCAGATATAGAGATCCAAGATTATTGTGTTTATTTCACTGCCTTCCCTTGCTTCATTCTCAAGACCCTTTTGTGTCATACACAGTGCTGCTATTGGGAGCACACCTCTCAACCTCAGGGCCTTGGATGGGCTAGGAGGGGTAAATTTGGGGAATTGGGTTTGGAGACAGTGTGTTCCCTCTCCCTGCACAAATACACATCCAAAGGCTAAGAACTAAGGCTAAAGTCTAGGAATGTGGATTGAAAAGTCAGGGTCTATAATCCCAGCACTTTGGGAGGCTGAGGTGGGTGGATCATGAGGTCAGGAGATCGAGACCATCCTGGCTAACATGGTGAAACCCCGTCTCTACTAAAAATACAGAAAATTAGCCAGGCGTGGTGGCGGGCATCTGTCATCCCAGCTACTCGGGAGTCTGAGGCAGGAGAATAGCTTGAACCTGGGAGGCGGAGGTTGCAGTGAGCAGAGATTGAGCCACTGCACTCCAGCCTGGGTGACAGAGCGAGACCCAATCTCAAAAAAAAAAAGAAAAGAAAAGAAAACGCAGGGTCTCTGCCCTCATGGACCTCACCAGAGAGTGGGAGCTAGTCCAGGAGTGATGGAGGCACCTGCGGAATCATGGAGACAGGCTTGGACAAAGGCATGCACCATTTGGGGCTGTTGCAGTTGGACAGCTTCCTTGAGAAGGCAAATATTGAGCCAAGTTGCAAAGACTCTAGAGATATGGCAGCTGGGAGAAGTGGGGAGGGTGGCCCAGGTGGCACAGGCGTAGGCAGATTTGCCCACGATTTGCCGACACTAGGTTGGGGGAAGGATGAGGCTAACAACAGACACTTGTGTGACAAGGACTATGAGGTGGCATTGATTTTCTTGGCCTTACAGATGAGAAGCCAAATTCCACACAAATTCTTTTGTTTGTTAGAGTTTAAGCGTGTGTATGTTATGCCCCAAGGTCGTTTCCTCCTCTTTGCATTTGGTTGTTTTATCATCTTGCAGGCTGAGTAAAACGACTATGCATGGAACGCTGTAGAAGAAAAATTATATTTTTAGAAAACTGGTGTTATGATTTTCATCCAGGCACTTTGTCTCAGGAGGTGCTCGATTGTATGTGTTGCTAATGAGTGATTTATATTACAGCATCTACAGTGATTCATGTGTGTCCTTGTGGAAAGCTGTAATCTGAGGCTCGCCAATTCACTTCCTCAAATCTCAGGTTCCTCGTTAGAAAGAGTTTGAAGCGGCTCTTTCCCTGTGCATTATGTGTTTCTGTGAATTACGTTTAGAGAAAGGTCAGTTTCTCAGGGTGGGGCCCATAAACAAGGGCAACTGGGCAGAGCCAGGGGTTCAGGTGACTGTTCGGACCCTCTGGAAGGGCTTTTTACTGTGCTGCCTTGGGAGACAGAGTGGTCAGCTTGGATCTGACCTTAAGCCTAGGTCACCCCATTTTTGGAAGGAAACTGTTTTTTTTCTTCATTTAGAGAGAACTTCATGCCTTTGGGTGATTTAGATAAGTTTGTGACTATTCGTTATGTGTGTGTACACACACGTACGTACATATGTACGTGCACAAATATTTAATATGTCTTAGACGCATCAAATATATGCATTTAAGGTGTATTAAATTTACTTTCCTAAGAATACAAATAAGTGCCCTAGGTCGGCAGCTCTCCACCTGACTGTACATTAGAGTCACCTGCGGAGTTCTGAGGAATCAGGATGCCCAGTCTGTCCTCCAGACTGCTGGGTGGAGCCCAGCCATCATGATTTTTTTCCAAACGTGAGTGAGAGCTGGTGGCCTAGACTTCACATTAGTTGCTAAAACATACTTTCCAAGATATCATGCTTTAAAAAGCATTTCAAAAGTAGATGATGCAGATGTGCCAGTGGATCAGATGATCACCTAGATTCAAAATTATGTACAGTTTATGGATTTAAGTCATTCAATAATTCAGCAAATAACAAACAAGCAGACATAAAGTGAAAATATGACAGTGATAAGTGCTATGAATAGAAAAACTAAAGGTGGGAGGGTAGAGGCACATTGGTGTGTGTGAGCGTGTGTGTGTGTGTGTGCATGTGTGCGTTTGCACTTGGGCAAGCATGCTGTGTTAGACTTTCAGTAGAGTGCTCAGGGAGGACTTATACATGACAACGTAGTGTTGGCAAACCGTAGGGGAAATACGGAATTATTTAATTAACAGTAGAGAAGTAATTAGTAGCTATTTGAGGCAAGTAGGTTTAGTTACTCCCTATCTTCATGTCAAACAAGAAAGTTAATCGTCGGTGGATGAAAAAAGCTAAATATAAAAACAAAACAACACAATACTGAGTCATAAAAATGAAGACACTACGTAAGCATCTATTTGACCCCCGACAGGAAAGGATATCCTACACTCAAAAGTAATGAAAACATCACAAAGCAAAAGAGTGATCAGTGTGACTACATCAATCTAAAATTTGTCATATATTAGCATAACAAAAGACAGAAAGTAAACAACAAGTTAGACAAACATCTGAGAACTGGACAAAAAACATAAAGAGATGGTTCATAAACATGAAAATAAAATGGCTGATAACATGTGATTAATATCTGCCTCATTTATACCCAAAGAAATGCAAATTCAGAAAACAATGAGATACCATTTTTCCATTTTGGCTGTCTAATTACATTTTAAAAGTAAAGCAGCTCAGTGCTCTCCTGGGTGTGGTCCATAGATACTGTCTTGTGCTATTGAGTGAGAGAATATGAATTATTGCAACATTTCTGGAATGCAGTTTGGCAGCATGCATCTGTCAGGTTTAAATGTAGTCTTCAACTCAATCACTGTACTGCCATGGAGCAACATCTAGGAAATAATAAGAAATGTAGACAAGTAATAATAACTAACATTTAAGTGGTATTACCATTCACCAGACACTTGGAATAGTAACTCATTTAACCTTCACATTAGCTCTGGGAGATGATATGATTATCCCCTTCTATGGATAAGAAAATTGAGGCACAGAACAGGTAAGTCAGTTGCCCACAGTCAGTTAGCTGGTAGAGGGTAGAATGGAGACTCAAATCTACCCAGGCTGGCACCTGAGCCCATGCTGCAAAAAAACTGAGCCGTCCTGCCTTACCCGTGAAGATGGTCATGTGATTATCGCATAATACATCTGGTAAATGATAATATATCCACATGAAGTAATATTAGGTAGCAATTAGAATGGTTTTAACAAAGAGTTTTGTGACACAGGAAAAATGCTCATTATGTAATATTAAGTGGAAATGCAGGATATACAATCATTTAAACATCTTTTTTTTTTTTTTTTTTTTTTTTTCCGGAGTTTCCCTCTGTCACCCAGGCTGGAGTGCAGTGGCAGGATCTTGGCTCACTACAAGCTCCGCCTCCCGGGTTCATGCCATTCTCCTGCCTCAGCCTTCCGAGCAGCTGGGACTACAGGTGCTCGCCAACACATCTGGCTAATTTTTTGTATTTTTAGTAGAGACGGGGTTTCACCATGTTAGCCAGGATGGTCTCTATCTCCTGACCTCATGTTCCTACTGTCTTGGCCTCCCAAAGGGCTGGGATTACAGGCATGAGCCACCATGCCTGGCCAAACATCTTAATTATGTGATAACATTTATAAAAAGTACAGGAAAACATGCTAAAAAATTATACATGTTGAGGTTATTTTCTTCTTTCAGTCTTCCTTTTGTAGATGTCCTACATTGAGTGTAAATTGCTTTAGAAATCAGAAAACCTTTTTAAAAAGAAAGAAACTTAAGAGTGATAGAAAAGCAAAAATATTGGTATTAAACATAACAATTAAAAATCTTAAAATTCTTACATGTAAGACTTAATATTTATATTCTTCTACACCTATTTTATTAACACTTGCTAGAGTATCTGTTACATTTATCAGAATAGCTTTTTTTCTGGAAATGAATTCATTATTTAATATAACCTTAATCTCTCAAATTCACACATAAAACTAGAGTACCTTAAAAATTTTACATACACACATCCAGATTTGCAGAATGCTGTGCAAATACCAACTGATTTTTGTATACTAAGAACTTAATATGTTTCATATTGAAACTCAGAGTTAACTTGTCAGTTTGCTGAATCATCTCCTAGTAACTTTGTCTCTTGGTAGATATTGAATATTTTTTACAAAAGTGATGCTTTTTATAAGGTTATGTCAGCCTTAATCAGAGTAGTGACATAAAGGAAATAACATTTTTTATTCTATCTAAGATGAAAGAATAGGCAGAGTTAATGACGAAATGTGTGTGGAGGTATCGGGGGAGGTTTCTAACCATAGAACTGGTCTAATTTGATTATGCATAGTTGGTACTTTCCATTCATACTTGTTTCTTTGGCCTTTACATTATTGATTATTATCTCTTGGAAATTCCACCAAATATTTGGTGATTTTTCCATAAGGATGGATGTGAATGGTTTGGCAGCTTAGCCATTAAGCTTTATCTTGGATTCAGGCATTGACAACCCTATTTTTAGGATGGAGGATGAGTAGTTGTTGGTGAGAGGGGAATTATTCTGGGCTGAGAAGCTGCTACTAAGCCTTAGAAGGTTTACTCAATAATTCCAGAGGCAGGTCTTCTTACCATTTCCATTTGGTAATGAGCAAACAGGCTCTAAGACTTGCTCAAGTTTTGCACAGCTTGTCAGTATTCAAACTGGAGTGGCAACCCAGGTTGGTGTGTTTCTGAAACCAGACTGTGCCATCAGCCTGTCCTTCCTGCACTCAGGATGGTAAACAAGGGACATGGTGTTATTTGTGCAGTATTTAGACTCTGAATGGTCTCCACTGTGGGGGGATTCTTCCTCCACTGGGCACTTAAAGTTGTAATCAGAAGTGTGAATGCTAGGTTGTTGTAGGATCAGATGCAGATCTTAGTCCCACTGGGTCACAGTCAATGTAAAGGAGGGGTCTGGAGTGTAGGAGACTGTCGCTTCATCTCTCCCTTTCCCTAAAGTAAACTCATATGGGCAGCCACAGACACACGCAAACACATACACACACCTATGCCTCAGTGAGACGTGTTAGTGAGTGCTGGCCATGTGCTAGCCTTCGTGCTGGGTTTTAGTGATACAGTGAAGAGCAAAGGAGCAACACAGACTTAGTGCCTAGAACTGTGAAACCTACGTTCTGAAGGAGGAAGATGGATTTTTAAAAGTTCAACCCCTAAATGAAGATCTTATTACAATTCAGGAGCATTCTGACGTGAAAGCACACACTGTCATGTGTGTCCGTGTGAAGAGACCACCAAACAGGCTTTGTGTGAGCAATAAAGCTTTTTAATCACCTGGGTGCAGGCGGGCTGAGTCCGAAAAGAGAGTCAGCGAAGGGAGATAAGGGTGGGGCCGTTTTATAGGATTTGGGTAGGTAAAGGAAAATTACAGTCAAACGGGAGTTGTTCTCTGGCGGGCAGGAGTGGGAGTCACAAGGTGCTCAGTGGGGGAGCTTTTTGAGCCAGGATGAGCCCGGAAAAGGACTTTCACAAGGTAATGTCATCACTTAAGGCAAGGACCGGCCATTTTCACTTCTTTTGTGCTGGAATGTTATCACTTAAGGCGGGACAGGGCATTTCACTTCTTTTGTGATTCTTCAGTTACTTCAGGCCATCTGGGCGTACACATGCGAGTCAAACGGGATGCGATGGCTTGGCTTGTGCTCAGAAGCCTGACACACACACACTCTCTTACATGGGCAGAACTGTCATACATAGCTCAGCATGTCACAGATTGTTTATTCACAGAATGGTAATATTTGTAGCAGTACTATTGTTTTCAACTTTGACCTTGGAAGCAGGATTTAGTAGACCAGGCCTTCTTCCAGAAGCAAAACTTCATTGCCTTGAAATTTTATTATTATTATTATTATTTTTGAGATAGAGTCTCGCTCTGTCTCTCAGGCTAGAGTGCAGTGGTGCGATCTCAGCTCACTACAAGCTCTGCCTCCCAGGTTCACGCCATTCTCCTGCCTCAGCCTCCTAAGTAGTTGAGACTACAGGCACCCACCACCACACCCGGCTAATTTTTTGTATTTTCACTAGAGATGGGGTTTCACCGTGTTAGCCAGGATGGTCTCGATCTCCTGACCTCGTGATCCGCCTGCCTCGGCCTCCTAAAGTGCTGGGATTGCAGGCGTGGGCTCCCACGCCTGGCCTAATTTTATTAATTTTATATGGCTGAAAGTTCTGAGAATTGGTTACTAGATGAAGGAATATAAAAATCTTCTAGGTTGGTTTTTTAAAAAATCTGTGTGCCAAAAGATTTTTAAACCTTCATAAGATAGGTATGCTTTTGTTTGAAAGCTTTGACTGAATCTTTTTATTCTGTTTTCCAGAGAAGCCATTTGAAGCAGAATCCAAACCATGAATTGTAGAGAATTACCCTTGACTCTTTGGGTGCTTATATTTGTAAGCACTGCAGGTAAGTGATTACACATATTCACAAACATATTTCATTAGTAATCGAGGACGAATGTCAAAGTTTTTTTTTTTATGTAGTGGCTACTGAAGATGCTGAATTTATTCAGAAAAGAAAATATTCTGCAGTCTGAGTTTATGTAGTGAGAGCAGAGTGAACAACTTGCATCTTGAAATAAATTACGTTTGTCTGAGGTGGAAATTTATTTCATGTTGTTTGAAACTGAGGAGGTGGCAGCCATCTTTATTATTGGGTTTTAGGAAGTTTGAAACACGCTGTCTCCTTCCTGAGAGGGAGGCAAAAATTCATCTCATTATTTAGGTAATAATGAAAAAAGTAAATGACAAATATATTAGACAGGTTTCAAAAATTAGAGTGAGACGGAATATACAAAAAGAGACTGGCTAGATCAGGGAGCTCGAGTAGGCTTCATAGTAGATGTCAAATACCAATTTTAATTTATTAGCAGTGATTGCCTAGAGTTTTTTTTTTTTTAATTGAGAAGGGTTCTGAGTCTCCAATTTATTAGCAGTGATTGCCTAGAGTTTTGTTTTGTTTTGTTTTAATTGAGAAGGGTTCTGAGACTCAATCCATGATTGATTAGCAAGGCATTCCTTAGGCTTTGGGGAAGAAAGTGGGAGCACAAATATTAATTTGCCTTGATCTATTACCTAGGAGAGGGAAACACATGGGCCCATATTCTCTGCTTTGATAATTACTGCTGAAGAGAGAGCAGAATTAAGCTTTTGGTACTTTCAAATAACCCAGGTCCAATCTCAGGGTATATTTACTTATATGGATCCATTTATTATTGAGATCCCTGCAATACAACCCTACCCAGATGGTAAAAGAATGAGGTAGATCTTTGTTTTTTTTTTTTTATGTAATGATGTGTCAGAAACAAGTCAGAGGAAAAACAAGGTGCAGGAAAATGTGTCATGAGGCCCATGTCCTGTGGACACACACTAATAGCCTTGCTCCTCATTATAACGAGAGCATGTTTCAGGCACAGAAACGGTCATGCAGCCAGTTGTGCAAAGTTGCCAAGCTCCCAGCTGCCTGCCCTGGAGAGCACTTCTCATGAATGTTTCATTCTAGGGAGACATGACAATGTTCTACATAGAGGATTCACTGAACCTAGTTGAGTTTAAGTGACAAAATCCTACAATTGTCCAAAACCAAGACAGTTTCAAACACAGACTATTCCAAATGGCATTGGTTGTTGGCCCTGCTGGGTTCTTATACTGTGTTTATGGAACAATAGGAGTGCCTATTTTGGCACTTGGAACTCCACACACCTTGAAATCCACTTATTTATCCCATCAAGGACCATTTCCAACAAGTATTATGGTAATCAACAAAGCCTCTAATGGTAAACCATGATTAGATATCCAAAGCTTCTAGCTGCCTGAGGAGGGGGATGGTGTGGACTTTCAACTGTCAACTTCCCACCTCTGGAGAGTGTGTAGTTCACATTAAGTTTCTTCAAATGATAATACTTCCAGAGAGCACATGTCCATCCAAACACAGTCATATGTGTTTATAGAAGCTTTTTAAGACGAGCGAAAACCTGGAAACCCGGAAATAACCCAATATCCAATAGACATTTGTTTAATAAACCAAATCCCCAACATGTATCCCTTTATAAAATGGATAAATTGCCAAATGGCAACACAATTAGATACTACATTACATTGAGAAAAGAACACATCACTGTTACAGCATGAATGCATTTGTAACATAATTATGTTAAAATAACCCAGGCATAAAGGAGCACATATTGAATGGTCTATGCACTTTATTATATTAACTCTAAAACAGGAAAATAAATGAACTGTTAATGACTCACCAGGGTTTTGCATGTAAATTGAAGCTGACACCCATATATACACATGTATCACACCTTCTATGTTGAAGTATTAGTATAAAATAGAGATTGTATTACAACCAGAAAACATGAAGTTGGGGCTCCTTAACTCTTGTGTTTTGAGGTAGATTTTACATCCATGTTTTCAAAGAATGTGTATTCGTCCATTCTCATGCTGCTGATAAAGGCATACCTGAGACTGGGTAATTTATAAAGGAAAGAGGTTTTATTGATTCACAGTTCTGTATGGCTGGGGAGGCCTCAGGAAACTTACAGTCATAGTGGAAGGGAAAGAAAGCATGTCCTTCTTCACATGGTGGCATCAAGGAGAAGGCTGAGCAAAAAGGGGAAAAGCCCCTTATAATAACATCAGATCTTATGAGAACTCACTCTCAGGAGAACAACATGAGAGTAATCACCCCCATGATTAAATTACCTTCCACCAGGTCCCTCCTATGACACATGGGGCTTATGGGAACTACAACTCAAGATGATTTGGATGGGAATACAGCCAAATCACATCATTCTACCCCTGGCCTCTCCCAAATCTTATGTCCTCACGTTTCAAAACAAAATCATGCCCTTCCAACAGTCCCCCAAAGTCTTCACTCATTCCAGCATTAACTCAAAAATCCAAGTCCAAAGTCTCATCTGAGTCAAGGCAAGTCCCTTCCTCCTATGAGTCAGTAAAATCAAAAGCAATTTAGTTGCTTCCTAGATACAATGGGAGTACAGGCATTGAGTAAATACACCCCTTCCAAATGGGAGAAATTGACTAAAACAAAGGGGCTACTGGCCCCATGCAAGTTCTAAATTTAATAGGGTAGTCATTAAACCTTAAAGTTCCAAAATAATCTCCTTCAACTCCATGTCTCACATCCAGGTCATGCTGCTGCAAGAGGTAGGATCCCATGGCTTTTGGCAGCTTTGCTCCTGTGACTTTGCAGGGTACATCTCCCCTCCTGGCTTCTTTCATGGGCTGGTGTTGAGTTTCTGGGCTTTTTCAAGTGCATGGTGCAAGCTGTCAATGAATCTATCATCCTGGGACCTGGAGGATGGTGGCACTCTTCTCTTAACTCTACTAGCTGTAGAGTACCCCAATGAGGGGACTCTGTATGGGAGCCCCGACACCACATTTCCCTTCCACACTACCATAGCAAAGGTTCTCCATCAAGGTTCTACCCCTGCAGCAAACTTTTGCCTGGGCATCCAGAATTTCCATATGTCCTCTGATATCTAGGTGTAGGTTCTCAAACCTCAGTTCTTGACTTCTGTGCACCTGCAGGCTCAACACCATGTGGAAGCTGCCAAGGTTTGGGGTTTGCATCCACTGAAGCCACAGCCTGACCTGGTATCTTGGCCTGTTTTAGCAATGGCTGGAAGGCTAGGATGCAGGGCACCAAGTCCATAGTCTGCACACAGAAGAGGGCCCTGGGCCCATCCCAGGAAACCATTTTTTCCTGTTAGGCCTCTGGGCCTGTGATGGGAGGGGCTGCCATGAAGATCCCTGACGTGCCCAAGAGGCATTTTCCCCATTGTCTTGGCAATTAACATTTGGGTCCTAACTTCCTATGCAAATTTCTGCAACCCGCTTTAATTGCTCCCCAGAACATGGGTTTTTCTCTCCTACTACATCCTCAGGCTGTGAATTTTCCAAACTCTTATGCTCTGTCACCTCTTGAATGATTTGCTCTTTAGAAATTTCTTCTCCCAGATCATCATCTCTCAAGTTCAAGGTTCCACGTATCTCCAGGACAAGGGCAAAATGCAACTAATCTCTCTGCTAAAACATAACAAGAGTCACCTTTGCTCCAGCTCCCAAAAAGTTCCTCATCTCCATCTGAGACCACCTCAGCCTGGATTTTATTGTCCATAACGTTATCAACATTTTGGTCAAAGCCATTTAACAAGTCTCTAGGAAGTTCCAAACTTTTCCATATTTTCATCTTCTTCTGAACCCTTGAAACTGTTGCAACCTCTGTCTGTATGCAGTTCCAAAGCCACTTCCACATTTTGGGTATCTTTACAGCAGCACCCCACTCCTGGTACCAATTTACTGTATGAGTCCATTCTCACACTGCTAATAAAGGCATACCTGAGACCGGGTGATTTATAAAGGAGAGAGCTTTAATGGACTCAGTTTTGCAGGTCTGGGGAGGCCTCAGAAAACTTACAAAAGAGGGAAAAGCCCCTTGTAACACCATCAGATCTCATGAGAACTCCCTCACTATCATCAGCACAGCATGCAGGAGACTGCCCCCATGATTAAATTCAAGATGACGTTTAGGTGGGGACACAGCCAAACCATATCGGAACACTTCTCTCACATCACTTCCTCTTTATGTTGTAGTTAACAATTTTGAGTTAAAACCAGACTGCTGCTTTGAGAAACAAACCCTATAGTCAGGGCATATAGAGAGGGCATTCTGTCCATGTCCTAAGGGAAATGTTTCATTCAATTTAAATATTCTTATCCTCAAAATGTGGTAAAAGTGCATCCAAGAGTCACGGGAGGATAGATTATGAGAAAGACCCATTAATGCTGACCTTGAAGTACAAGAAGTGCAGAAAGAGGGAAAGGAACACCTATCCTGTGTAGATGAGGGTCAGATATATTTCCAAAGCTGGAGAATCTGGGTCAGTTGAGAAGGAGGGAATGTGACAGATATTGCAAATTTGGATTGATATTATATTAATGAATTCTTGATTATCCACATGGTGACCTACAGCAATAATAAATGTACACCCACTGTAAGTTACATAGGCACATCTTTAACCATCTCCACACTTGCCAGGGAATGTTAGATAGGCAGGGTGAATGCACGGTGAGTGAGATTTCTGACGGTGCAGAGGAAGAACGCCAAGGTTGCTAAGTTTTTGTTTCTTTTCCACTGAGACTCCTCAGCTGGGTATGTTTTGGGGTAGGTATGGCAGCACTGTGACTTCTGTGGCTTTCCTTTGAAGAAGTTGTAATGTGTAATATTTTCTTCTAAGAGATGACACAATTATCAGTCTTCTAACTACGGTTGGCTAAGTTCTGATACCTTCCTGTTGGGGAGAAACTGTCAGAAGTTGTGTTTTCATCTATATTCTGAAAGTGCCTCATGCTTTCTAGTGTTGAAAAGATTGATGCAAAAATAAAGGAACCCACAGGAAAGTGACACTGAGATTTCTCAGGACTTTCTTACTAACCTTGCTTTTTCACCTAATGCATGAGAAGACAAAAAAGTTACCTTTGTCATTTTGGTTTTTGTTTTTATTTCTTTTACTTTACTAATCTTTTGAAGAATCTTGTACTTCACGTCCCCACATTACTGTGGTTGAAGGGGAACCTTTCTATCTGAAATATTGTTCGTGTTCACCTGCACATGAGATTGAAACAATCACCAAAAGCTGGTACAAAAGCAGTGGATCACAGGAACGTGTGGAGTTGAATCCAAGGAGTTCATCGAGAATTGCTTTGCATGGTTGTGTTTTGGAGTTTTGGCCAGTTGAGTTGAATGACACGGGATCTTACTCTTTCCAAATGGAGTGAGTAACCCTTTCTTTTAAAAATGTATTTCATAGCCCTCTTGTCCTTTGTTCAGCAACTCAAATATGCAGTAATCTGAAAGGTCAGATAATCAGCACATCTTTTTCTTTTCTACTCTTCCTACAACATGAAGTACGTTGTTCATTACAGAACAAAATACATTTATTTCTCTCTGCTTATTTTCTTATTTTCTTAGTGACCTTAAAGAAAGGAGATTACCTTAATAGGATTTCCTTTTAGGGGATTCTCACCAATGGTAAGTGATGATTGCATGAAAGTCAGTTTCAAAATTCAGCCGCTCCTGTTGTCTACATGCCCCCAATCAAATGAAATCAGCAGCTCGGACTTCACGATAATATTAATGTGTTGTGAAGGGGGCAGTGTCAGCTTCCTGGGTGGCATCCTTAGTGGGGAGCAGGGATGGGGTTGATGCAAACACACACTAGTCCAGTCTGCAGGGGCTCACGGGGAACCAGGTGGCAGTGCTAGTGGAGGATGTGTGTTTCCGGCAGCCAATTGCAACCCACAGCTGGGGGCAGTGAGAAAGGGTGACACAGAAGGGCTTTGCATTTTACTCATGCGGTGGCCCTGGATTGTGCCAGGATACTCATCATTATGTTGGATAACTTCCATTAAATGAGCATAGCCAACTGGAAGCATCACCCACACTTACTGAGCATGTTTCTTTTTAGATGTACTTACTTACCTACCTACATGTGTAGGTATTTTTATAGAGACTTGAGACTGACCTGTAGGAAATAGCTCAGGGCCAGCTGAAGGTGATGGTGTGCAGATTTCATATGTAGCAGATTTCTTTTGGAGGCACTTCTAGAGTGAGTCCTGATCATTATCAACCGTGCCGTTGAGAGCAGAGTGAGCTATCACTGTGAAACTTTGGTAGTGCTCCTGTGGTTTTGCACCAAATTAGGTCACTTTTGTTTGTTTTTATACATAGGAACTCCCAGGCATCAGAAAAAAATTAAGTAACTCTTTTGATAAAAACCAATACATCTTTAGGTGACCTTTTTAGAGGGATAATTACAGAAATGGGTCACAACTGAGATTTTTCATATCAAGCTAAGGTAGAATGAATACTCACAAATGGCGTAAAGGAAACAGATTAACACACACTGCCCCCCACAAACTTCTGACTCCTGATTGAATGAAGGCATGATTTAAAAGAATAAAGTATTCTGGACAGGGCTGAGAGAGCATGTTGAGAGGAACAGCCAGGCATCCATGATCATCAGTTGGAGATAACAGAAGCAAATGGCATTGGCCATCTTTCTGACATGGGGAGTAGAGAATACAGCCTGGCTTAGGAAGCAACAATGGAAGCAAAAGATTGAGGTAGGATTTCAGAGACATGTGGAGAGACCGGGTAGCAGACAGGAGATGCGAAGAAAAACGAGGTGTCCCAGAGTGGATATTGGAGACTGATCACTATGAGAGTAAAGTGATGAGGAGAGAAGCAGCTTTGACAATGGCCTTGAAAATGAATGGGATTCTACATGGAAGCAAGTTGTTTTAGACACCCAGGAGCATGAAAGATACAGACATCTTCAAATATAGCATAATTAGTAAGCAGTATTTACTGCAGATTGTGCGTGTGTGCGCACACATATGTGTTTTAACTTTGGTGTATAAGCCTTTGTAGTTTGATATGGATCTATCAGTGAACAGACTTTACACCTGAAATTTTCCCATTAGAACAGTAATTCTTTAGTTTTTAGGAGTCCATTGCTAATAATCAAATGCCACTGAGGACTGATCATTTAATCCTGCAGTGAAAACCACTTTATCCCACCAAATTTTAAGAAAGAAATCAACTAAGAAGGAAGGGGATACAAAAGGGAGCGTTTTTCAGTGATAGAGATGAAGAAATGAAGGTAGAGAGAAATGTACGCATGGAAATCTAATAAACCAATCCTAGACTGACAGGCAGCGAGTTCAGCTTGGTGAGCAGCCTCAGAAGTGGGGACTGATACTTATCCCCTGGTGTGTGTGGACAAAAATGAGTGGTTTTCATAACCAGGATGGGCTGGGCCTGCAGCAGGAAAGTGTGGTCACAGCTTTGGGTGAGTGGGCTTCCGTGTTAACACCAGCCTTGGAGCTCCTGGATGGCAAGTGCAGTGTGTTGGTGATTGTCTGTGTTCGCAGCACAGTGTCCTGCACCTGGAGTGTCATCAGTCCTCTCGGATTTGTTGAGTGTTAGGAATTGAGGATTACAGAGGTAGAGAACAATGTATTCTGAAAAAATGGGGATATTCCTTTTAATTATATTCCTTTTAAGCAACAAGTCAGAGAGATTCAGAAATCTCTCTTTCTCCAGTTCATTGAGGCCAAAGCTGGGGAGACTTTACAAAAACACACTTGAGAAAAGGTGCTGCCAATGGGATTCTGAATCCATTTCAAGGGCCAGGTAGCTCTATTATGTCCCATGGCCACGGATGCACTGCCTGTAACCATGACAACAGCCTACCACATTCTCTAGTCATGGCCAATCTTTTATAAATTCATGCCCGAAGTGAAGGGGCCAGATTCATTGGATTGTGAAAGTGTAGAATTGTGCAAAGCACTTCTGGTCTTTGGGGCCAAATAGATGTGCATTTGCATCCTGGCCCCATCTTGTAGCAAGTGTGTGACCTGAGTGAGTTGTTTAACCTCTCTGAGATTTAGCATTCTCATCTGAGCCTAAGGAAAACAGTCATCTCCCTTGCACGTACATAGTCTAACACCTGGAACTCAATAAGTGCTTGTCTTTTCTTCCTTCTATCCTATTGTAGACCTAAAGGGGAACTGGAAGAGCCTAAGGTGGGCACAAATGTGTCAGGCATAGAAGATAACTTAACAGCACGTGTCTGCTGTATTTAGCAAATGAATCTGTACATCACAGGTGCAGTGGAAGAAACATCAAATTTGAAACATTTTCTCTTTAAAAACTTCATTTAAAAAATACTGTATTTTTTTCCAATCCTAGATCACCATTTTTTTTTTTTTTTTTTTTTTGAGATGGAATTTCGCTCTTGTTACTCAGGCTGGAGTGCAATGGCGTGATCTCCACTCACTGCAACCTCCACCTCCTGCCTCAGCCTCCCGAGTAGCTGGGATTACAGGCACCTGCCACCATACCCAGCTAATTTTTGTATTTTTAGTAGAGACGGGGTTGCACCACATTGGCCAGGCTGGTCTCAAACGCCTGACTCAGGTGATCCACCTGCCTTGGCCTCCCAAAGTGCTGGGATTACAGGTGTGAGCCACTGCACCTGGTCTAGTGATAGTCCTGATCATTAATTTCTGATGAGGAGTAACAACTACTATAAAATCTATTCATACTCACCTTTGGTCGGTAAGGCATTTAAAGAGCTAATTCAATTACACTGAGGGCAACAACTCCAGATTTTGCTTTATTCAACAGTAAGAGAATGGGATGGGAACAAATTGCCTTGAGAAACATAAAACCTAATTCTTATACACACACATTTAGAAAACAACATCAGGAATTTATAGACCTTTTGAAACCAAAGCCACCCTCCCATCCTGGGCCAAGACTCTCTGAACTTATCCATCAGCGAAGATCACTGACATTGTAAAGATTTGCTTTTCTGACATCCATAATATATTGTCTGCAGTAGGATATGTGCATGTGTGTGTCCCTGTGTGTGTAGACTGCTCATGTTTTCATTTTTTTACCCCCTGCTCCCATGACAGTTAAAGTTCTTGCTCCTCTGAATCAAGAGGAGGCAGAGCAGAGTTTGCACATCAATGAATCAATCTCTTTAATAAAAATAAAGGAAAAATATTATAACATTGGTTACTAAAGGGAAGATGGGTGATATTTGCAAAGTTTCTGTAGCATTATAAAATACCTTTACATTTTTGTTCCATAGAAATTATACTCAGAAATGGAAATTAAATGTCATCAGAAGAAATAAACACAGCTGTTTCACTGAAAGACAAGTAACTAGCAAAACTGTGGAAGTTAAAAAATTTTTGCAGATAACCTGTGAAAACAGTTACTATCAAACACTGGTCAACAGCACATCATTGTATAAGGTAATGCTTTTGTGTTATTTTTAACTTTAAGACTTAATGGAAAAGATAAAATTCCCAAAAGAGGGGTTAAGGGCTACCATTTGGTCTCATAGCAAGCTGCCTGATCCCACATGACTCACTTGCCCTGTTTGAGCCAAGTATCCTCACTGGCTTGTTGTCAACAGCTGATGCATAGTATTAAAATATGTTCCACAGTAGTTTACCTGGATTTGGTGTTCAATAAATGATCACAGCTGCCTCTCTCACACTCTTCCTTCATTTTCCTTCTCTTTCAATAAGTTAATTTTTAGGAATGCTAGTTCAAGGATTTCCCTTTTCTCCTGTCACATGTACTTAACATGTAAAACTCAATTATATATGTTTTTCTGAATACATTAGTTCATTTTATAATATTGAAAATGGTAACGCTTTTATAATATTTTAACTTTAAAACTGAAAAATGAAGAAAGCAAAAAGCACTCATAAATCCATCAATTAGAGACTTCGTGCCCTTTTTTATTTTCTGTGAAGCATTTGCTTTTTAAAAGTGGTATATTTTATTTTATTGTGTTTTTTCCTCTAAGAACTATATTGTGACTATCCCTTCACATCTTTAAATGATCTTCTAAACATGGGCTTTCAGTTTTTATGTGCCTGATTTCATCTAACTAATCCCATTGTTATTGGACATTTGTGAATTGCCTATTTTTCACTATTATTTAAAGGCTGAAATGAATACCACTTCCACAGATCCTTGGGTGTTTATATAATTTGTCCTTCAACCAAATCCCTAAATGTAGAATTACCGAATCAAAGGCTGTGAGCATGTTTATGTCTTTTTCTTCACACTATCAAACTCGTCTCCAGGGAGCTCTGCCAATTTTACCCCACACTTGAAAAAAGAATCCCAATTTTCTGTTACCTCCACAACACTGGGAAATAATGCTCCTAGAATGGTTCAAATTGGATGTGAAAAATTTCTAAAACTCCTAGTGGTTTTTTCACTTTTCTTAGTAATAAACTTTTGTATCTATTTATTGCATCTTACTGCAATCAGGCAATTTTGTGGGTTGCCTGTTTATTTTCTCTGTCTTCTTCAGTTGGCATACCTTTTACTTGTTGAATTTTAAAAGCTCTTATACACCATGGAATACTATGCTGCCATAAAAAAGGATGAGTTCATGTCCTTTGTAGGGGCATGGATGAAGCTGGAAACCATCATTCTCAGAAAACTAACACAGGAATAGAAAACCGAACACTGCATGTTCTCGCTCATAGGTGGGAGGCGAACATCACACACCAGGTCCTGTTGCGGGGTGGCAGGTAGGGGATGGATAGCATTAGGAGAAATACCTAAGGTAGATGACAGATTGATGGGTTCAGCAAACCACCATGGCACGTGTATACCTACGTAACAAACCTGCACATTCTGCACATGTCACCCAGAACTTAAAGTATAATTAAAAAAAAAAAAAACTCTTAGACCACGCTATAGGAATTATGTATACACATACATAGTGTGTGTGAGTATAGAGTATGTGTGTGCATAAAAAACGTACACACTCCCATCCACACACACACACACAAATTGTGTAGTTCAGGGCTCCCCAATCCCCGGGCCACTCCCCCTCACTCACATTACCACCTCCTGTGAGATCAGCAGCGGCATTAGACTCTCACAGGAGCAAGAACCCTATTGTGAACTGTGCATGCGAGGAATCTAGGTTGCGTGCTCCTTATGAGAATCTAATGCCTGATGATCTGTCACTGTCTCCCATCACCCCCAGATAGGACCACCTAGTTGCAGGAAAACAAGCTCAGGGCTCCACTGATTCTACATTATGGTGAGTTGTATAATTATTTCGTTATATATTACAGTGTAATAATAATAGAAGTAAAGTGCACAATAAATATAATGCACTTGAATCATCCCCAAACGAACCATTCCCCACTCAACCCCTACCCACCGTGGTCCATGGAAAAACTGTCATTCATGAAATCAGTCTCTGTGTCGAAACGGTTGGGGACAGCTGATGCAGTTTATATGGAATAACAAATCTGAATAATGTAACTCTATCATGGAAACTTTAAAGACCTATAAGAGAGAGTGGTCTGAACAGAACTTGGGAAAGCTAAAGCGAGTGATGATGACATCCTTGAAACTTTTGTTTGTGCCTTATGCTTGAACACTGTTTACTTGTGATTTCCAAAGACAGCTCTTATCTGAAATGTTTTCTAAACATTTGAGTCAGTCCTGAGTTGACTTCACTCTATTTCCCATCAATGTACAAATGTGTCACAGTACATGTAAATTAGTGAGGCATGGTGTGCTGAGTTTTAAGATATTCTAACCGGGCACGGTGGCTCACGCCTGTAATCCTAGCACTTTGGGAGGCCGAGGCAGGCAGATCACGAGGTCAGGAGATCGAGACCATCCTGGCTAATATGGTGAAACCCTGTCTCTACTAAAAATAGGAAAAAATAGCCGGGCGTGGTGGTGGGTGCCTGTAGTCCCAGCTACTCAGGAGGCTGAGGAAGGAGAGTCATTTTAACCCAGGAGGCGGAGGTTGCAGTGAGCCGAGATCAAGCCACTGCACTCCAGCCTTGGGGACAGAGTGAGACTCCGTCTCAAAAAAAAAAAAAAAGAAATTCCAAAATGCAGATATTTAAATTAAGAGCATTGATGCACCAAGGATGTTTAGCTAAACAATTGACCGCAGGGCTGAGTATTCTAAGCCTGTTGACTGATCATGACTTCACCCGAGAGCAAGGAGTCTAAATCAGTAGACAATTGAGTAGACAATTGATTGGAAAGGAAAAATGAAGAGTCTCTGATCTTTTCTATAGCTTGAAAAAATTAGTTTGGCTTTATAAAATTTTGACTTATACATAAATAATTTACTGATGTGAGGTACACATGTGGGTGCTTCACGGGCACATTCTGTGCAAAATAGGTCTAACCCCAGTGGCTGCCAGCTCTGAGGGAGAAGTCTGCGAGCAGTAGGTTCTTCTTGCTTGGTGTTTGCAGAAACAGTGTCCAGTCATCAAGGATGGCCATTCAGCCTCCAGCCTTCCCACGTGGTCCCTGAATGGCTCTGGGACCTACCACTGGGTGTCAGATGTGCTGGACTGAAGAAAGTGGCTTTATTACAGTTAGTATTAATTCCTGTGACATGTATGGAAATGTGTGTGTGAGAGAGAGATGTTTGAGTATACCTATGGATTTGAATATTGTTGATGCATTTCTAATCAGCTCGCTGGCTTCCGGTGGAGAGTGTCAAAGGTGTGGGTGGTCTGCTAGCTACTCGGTTCTCTGAGTAATTCTCCACCCACCCCACTACCCATCGCTGGGATGCACAGTCCAGAATATACAAAATTGGACTGAACATGTATGAAAGAGTTGTGACTCAAGCAAGGATTTGTGTTGTAGTGTTCTCTCTCTCTCTCTCTGTCTCTCTCTCCCTGTTTCTGTCTCTCTGCAGGTGTGTGAAAGAGAGATGAAAGAATATTGATGAAAGCAGCTACAGTGCTCATACTGCCCCATTCGCTACTTCCCAGCATGTATTAATAATGATAATCATACCAACAGCAATGGGACTGCATTTAATTGTTTCAGTAAAAGCAGTACCAAGTCATCGGGACATGTATCCAGGAATTGCTGTTTTCCATTCTGTTTGCCTTTTGCTCTGAAGTTCTTTAACTCAAAAATTTGGATCATTGTAATATGAATTCGGCCTTTACTTAAAGTATTTTAACTTGCTTTCTTAAAAACAGAACTGTAAAAAGCTACTGGAGAACAATAAAAACCCAATGATAAAGAAGAACGCCGAGTTGGAAGACCAGGGGTATTACTCCTGCGTGCATTTCCTTCATCATAATGGAAAACTATTTAACATCACCAAAACCTTCAATATAACGATAGTGGAAGGTAAGGGAAATCTTAGAATTGGGAAGAAACAGATGTATTTTAGTAACATGGAATTTTTCCATTCTTTAAAACTGTGTAGGAATTGAGAGTCCACGTAGTTGGGGTTGTGACCACACCACTAGTTCAAATATAAGGGTCAAAATCTTCATTTTGGTGCTCCTCTACTTGGCTAAATAAACCTTTCTTTTTGGCAGGAAATGAAAATCTATATGAATAAACTTCACATGAGTCAGCTCTCTCTTATATATGAAATTTGAGTAAATTGTGGAATCTTTTGTTGTTGAATTTACATTTTCACTCCACAAGTATTCATTGATGATATTTATACTCAATAAACTGTACTTAGCACAGGGAGGCTGGGAAGCAAGGAAATATGAGATGAAGTGAGCACTGTGCTGTTCTCAAGGGATTTGATTATAATCAGGAGAAGTAATAACCGAATGCCACCGTATGAAACAACATTATCTGTGAGGCTGCAAGAGTGCAGAGGGAAGTTGTAGGAAGGATAGATGCAGGAGGCTCCCTTTGACCTGCGTCTTGGAGGGGGAGCCTCATGAAGCAGTGACCTGCTGGGGAAAGGGATCTCGACTGGGAGAGTTAAGGAACATTGATGTGCTGGTGGGAGGGGAGGGATGCTGGACCCAGGCTGTGTGTGATGGAAGAACAGAATCCTGGGACATTAAAGGTATTTAATTAAACCTCACCCAGTGAAAATATTTGTCATAAGGCACAGCCGGTAATTGATCATCCAGTCCCTTCTTGGGAACTACCAAGGAAATGACCAAATCATACAGCAGTGTAGTTCAGATTTTAATATCTGACTGTTGAAGTCTTTTTTTCCCATTGAGTCCAAATATCCCTTCTCGTAGCTTCCAACCACTGATTTTGATTTGCCTTCAAGAATTTCACAGATTAAATCTGGCTCCTTCTTAAAATGACAGCTCCTTTCTGATTTGAAGACAGGTGACTTATCCAGTCTAGACTTTTTTCCCCCATCATCCTGAGAAACTGGAAACTGTAACACTTGTGTGGGTGGCTTGTTCAACAAAATCTGTGGGCTCACATTTGCTACAGCCTTCGCTTTAGCAACATCTTTCCTCTTCACTACAACCATATAGCTATATACACCCATGTATTGCCACAGTAACAAATTACCCCAAGTTTAGGGTCTTCAGTTTTGGCAGAATGAATTGCTTTACTTCCAGAGGCTGTAGGGGAAACGTGTTTCTTTTTTTTCCTTTTTTTTTTTTTTTTTGAGATAGAGTCTAGCTCTGTTGCCCAGGCTGGAGTGCAGTGGTGCAATTTCTGCTCACTGCAAGCTCCGCCTCCTGGGTTCACACCATTCTCCTGCCTCAGCCTCCTGAGTAGCTGGGACTACAGGCACCTGCCACCACGCCCAGCTAATTTTTGTGTTTTTTTAGTGAGGCGAGGTTTCACCGTGTTAGCCAGGATGGTCTCAATCTCCTGACCTCATCATCTGCCCGCCTCGGCCTCCCAAAGTGCTGAGATTATAGGAGTGAGCCACCACACCCAGCTGGAAAATGCATTTCTTTGCCTTTGCTTTCTCCAACTTCTAGAAGCCACCTGCATTTCTTGGCTTGTGCCACTTCATTTCAGAGCCAAACACATTCGCTTCCCTCACCCCATCTCCTTTTTGACTCTGACCTTTCTGTCTCCCTCTGATGAGGACCTTGAGATGACATTATGCCCACCTAGATAATCCAGGGCGATCCCCCTATCTCAAGATCCTTAATTTAACCACATCTAGAGGTTCCTTTTGCCATGTAACATATCATATTCACAGGAACTCGGGAGTAGGATGTGGGAAACTTCGGGGTCTATTATTCTGCCTGCCACAGTCCAGAACTGGGGAAACCCATAACTGAATTTTTAAACTCAAAAACTTAAATTCTATGTATAATCATCTACCCTAAACTCTCCAAATTTTCTTTCCTGTATGTATTTTTAATATCGTATAAATATCTGTTCCTTTGATACTTTCAGAACCTGTACCCCCTCTCCCACCATCTTTGCTTTCCGCCCATCAGCAGCTCTTTCCTTCCTTCTTTGATGAAGCTGTAGGAATATCCATTATTAAAAGGGTACTTGCTATGGGCCAGGGATTGTGCCAAGTACTGGAGTTGAATCATGTCATATAATCCTCACAACAGCTCTGTGAGGCTGTGGCCTTGGGTGAGTTCATTTCTTAGTTCCTCTCTGCCTCAGATTCCTCACTGTGAAATGGGACAGTAATGGTTCATCCCTCATAGGGTTGGCTGAAGATGACTGAGTGAGTGTGTGTTCAGCTCTAGGATGGCTCCAGGGACAGCAAGAGTTCCGCTGTAATGACCATCTCCCACTGCTGGGTTCCCAAACCTCACCTGCAGCACCAGCTATTCTTCTTCCATAATTGTCCATCTTATTTTTCTTGTCTTCTTGGAGAATGCCACTGAGTCTCTCAGGACTCCACTCAAATGTCCCTCCTCCTCCATGCCCCCACGGTCTCTTGTTTGTTTTTGTGATTGCTGTCAGAATTGCATTACATGCGTGTCTCTGTCAATAACTTGAAAAGTTTCTAGAAAGGTTTGCACTGAGTTCTGTTCCTCATCTTTGCATCTTGAATACCTACGATTGACACTTAGCACATAAAGGTGCTCATTATATGCCTGTTGTGTGCATCACTGAGACAGCAACAACTGCTTTGATGCCACATGCAGCAAGAACTCTAGACACTTCACCATCCTGGCTATTTTTATTTGGATTTGGCTAAGTTTGCCACGAGTCTACAGAAATTAGAGCTTGGAGTTGGAGAGGACAGCCAGGAGGTGTTCTGACCTGTGTTGAGGACAGGGGGGCTCTGAGCTCCCACCTTCTCCATGTTGTGTCTTTATTACAGTCCCCTTCCCTTCGCAGATGGAGATCTCTCAGCTGCTACGTAGTGACTGCCATAGTGGTGGAATGGTGTGACACCTCTCCTCCCCATCTTAAGGCCCATGACAATGCTCCCATAACAATAAAACAGATTAACAAGGGGCAAACAAAACAGATTTATTTAATCAAAGTTTTATGTGACATGGGAGTCTTCAGAAAGGAAGACCCCAGGACCGGGTGTGGTGGCTCACGCCTGTAATCCTAGCACTTTTGGAGGCCGAGGCGGGTGGATCACCTGAGGCCAGGAGTTCAAGACAGGCTGGCCAACATGGCGAAACCCCATCTCTACTAAAAATACAAAAATTAGCTGGGTTTGGTGGCGGGCACCTGTAATCCCAGCTACTTGGGAGGCTGAGGCAGGGAGAATTGCTTGAACCCAGGAGGTGGAGGTTGCAGTGAGCTGAGATTGTGCCAGATGCACTCCAGCCTGAGTGACAGAGCGAGACTCGGTCGCAGAAGAAAAAAAAAAAAAGGAAAGAAATGAATACCCCAAGACTCAGGAAAACCATTTTTTTCTTTTTAAATGCTTAGGTTCTAGAAACATGGACAGCCATGTAGAAATGTGATTGGACAAGAGGGGATGACCGAATGCTAATAGACTGAGTGGGGAAACTCAGCAAGACCTGTCCAGATTATTCTTGGCCTCTCTGTGATATTTCTTTTTCCTGGGTAGAGAGCAGAGGGTCTTAATACTTACTGTCAGACCAAAGAAGGCCAAAGAATTTATAGCCAGCTCCTAGACAGAAAGGCAGGAGAAGGTTAGAGTCATGCTTCTAGGTTCTACGGCTTACTTTGGGGAAAAGGATTCTAGTTTTTATGATCTGCCTTTGGGAAGAGGGAGTCTGGTTTCTAGGACTCGCTTTGGGGAGAATGGGGGCATGAAGCAGGAGGGCAGGAGAAGGTCAGAGAGATCTTGGTTTTGAGGCTGCTTTGAGGCCTTCAAATGTGCTTTAGTTTAAAGTACTCAGCCTGCCAAAATGCCATACTTTAGGCACTGTTTTTGGAGCCCAGGAGTACCACTGCCTTCAGCTCGTGCTCGTGAATCGCAGTCACCTGAATTCCCACCGGGCATCTGCCACTTTCCTGGTCTCATGCTCTGGCAGATCGAGTGGTGTCTCCTCCTACTGCTGATGACCTCTATGCTGTGTGGACTCTGATAGCCTCCTAGGTAGACTGGTCATGTCAAGGGCATGAACTACGATGTTGTTTCCTTCTGTGACCTACATGGGACTGCACCGTTCACTTTACACCAGTTGTGCAAACTCAGGGCTGATCTAGGTTTCCAATGATATATTTTGAGTGTTAGTAGACAGCATCCTTTGCTAACGATGTCCTTCACGCTGCCCCTTCTCAAGTCACCCATGTAAGTTTCTGGGGGAAAAAATGGATCCAGAGAAAGGTAGTCAGTAGCAGTTTTCCCCCTCACACAGAAGTTGCCTCCTGCCCCTTTGTCTTTGAATTCAAGCCCATGTTGCTTCTTATTGTCAGACCCGAGAGTTGGTTCTTTCCCTGGATACATCTCAGCTCCTCCTGCCTGTCTGCCAGCATTCCAGGCTTGCCCAGAGACTCCGAATCCCAGGAGAACCCAGTCCTGACTCTCAACCCCGGGGTCCACTGTGCTGGTTTCATTCTCCTGTTCTTGCTCACATATCTGCCCACTGCATTCTCCACTGCTCACTCTGGCACTGTACTTTCTGAGAGGGCTCAGGGAGGTGTGGGAGCTGCAGGAGGGCTCCTGAGTCTCACTGTACTCCACTCAACCAGGCGTTCTGCTTGCTGAGCACCTGCAAGTCCCAGAGGGATGTTCTGGACCTTGCTTGGGAACGCCCCAAAGCAGCAGGGCTACTAGCAGAGAACAGTCCTGGTCGTAAGGAAGGTTACCAATGAGGATATCAGGGCTAACGATAACTTAACTATGCACCAGTTTAAATCTATGACCACAGCTGCTCTTAGGGTTTGCAGTTGCCAGCTGCCTTAGGCAAGAGCCTGCTGGGTGATGACTTACTTCCCAAGCATCACCAGATGGGGACTGAGGGGGCAGAATTTATGTGTGGTACTTCCAGTCAGGGTCAGAAGCCACTGAGGAGCAGAAGTAGACCTTGGCCTATAGGCGTGAACTTACCAGCAGGGCCAGGGCCCAGGTGAGGCTCCCAGGTACAATATTGAAGGGACACTGCTCTTAGCATCTTGCCAGGGAACGGTGGGCACCTAGAGTGAGGGATTTGCTTTTCTCAACCCGTCTTGTCTCTGCACCCTGTAAATCCATCACTGGCCAGCTGAGGAGGACAGATGGAGGGAATCGAGACGGGGCAAAAAGGCTCTTCCCAGTGATTTTGTGTGGTCCAACTCTTGCATGTTTGATTGTCTGGGAGTCAGGCAGCAGTGGATGGGCATCTTCCTCTGCCTTTTAGTTAAAGTGAGCAGAAGCTGCAGATTTGAGTGAGAGAAAACCAGATGCAAGGTGCTTTCAACATCTCTGTCAGCATGGAGTTGATGGAGAATGAAACAATAAACAATATGATCTGTGACCTTTAGTTAATGCAAATAGGAGTCAAGTGAATGTAAACCAGTAACTATTGGAATCTTTGTTACATGAAATGAGCATATTATCATAGATGCTTCTCTTAGAGAAGCTCAAGGCAACACTAATACATTTGTCTTTTCTTTTGTCACTTCTAGATCACAGTAATATAGTGCCAGTTCTTCTTGGACCAAAGCTTAACCATGTTGCAGTGGAATTAGGTATATTTCAATATATGTATATTCTGCATTTATAAGTAGGGGACATAATAGAGTCTTCCAAGGGTAAATACAATACATTATTGAATGACACCAGATACACATTTCATATTTGCTGACTAACATTACAAAACTAAAAAAAGGGTGCCATTTTTTGAATCTTGCCACTTTTAATCTGACACAGTGTCATTTCAACCTTTTGGAATTTGTAGTGACTTACTTAAGGCCCACAGTATGGTATATCTTGCTGAATGTTCCAAATGCATTTGAAACAAAGGTATATTCTATAGGTTTTGGTTTTACTATTCTTTAAATGTCAATTTGGTTGAGTTCGTTAATGGTGCTGTTCAAAACATTTATATCCTTACTAGTCTTTTATCTGCTTGTTCTATGTGTTGCTGCAAGAGACGTGAATATCTCCAACTATTATGGTCAATATGTCTCTATCTCCTTTAGTCCTGTCAATTTTTGTTTTATATAGTTTGGAGCTATCTTATATGCATACACAGATTTATGCCTGTTGAATTAACACATTTACCATTATGAAATATCTCTATCTATCATAACACTTCCTCTCTCAATGTGTAGCTCTGCCATATGAAATAGTGACACAAGTTTTCTTTTGCTTGGAATTGGCATATTTGTCTTTTTTTTACATCCCTTTACTACTAACATTTTTTTTTTTTTTTTTGCTGTATACATAAGTGTCTCTCATAAACTGCACGTATTTGGATCTTTTTTGAAATCTGGTCAATATGGTGTTTAGTCCATTTGTATATTTAAAATTACTGTTACAGTTGGTATATCTCATATGCATGATATAAACATATTCAATTTATTCTTTTTAAAATAAATTACACTTTGTTGAAAATGACCATATTTCCATCCACTGGTTTATCTTTTCTTCTATTTTCTTTCAGTTATTTAGAGTTTTTATCTGCTAAATTCAGCATCTGTAGGTCTGCTTCTATTATCTGCCTTTTCTATTGATTATCATGCACATTTTCTGTGTCTTGTATGTCTCTTAACTTTTTATTGTTGTTGATCTTTGTGTATCAAACAATTAAAGTGAACACAGTTTGTGTAATTTTTTTCTTACAAGTATGTAGCCTGAGAGATGAGTATCTCAGTTGACTCAGAATTGAGCTGGGGTGACTGAGATGTAGGTATGTTAGATCCTATCTGTCTTCATCTCTGATAGCTGGTTAGGGAGGGGGTGCTGTGGTCATGTGTTTGTTGCAGGCCTTTTCTCTAATGAGGCTTGCTCTCCTGATTACCATGAGACTGCAAGTGATATCATGCAGCCTTTACATCCTCTTATGCTGTCCAAGCACTTAGCAATAATTCTGCAAGCCTGTACAGCTGCTGCGAGCTTCACTGGATTTTCTTGTCTCTATGAGACTCTTTCTGCTTATTCCAAACCAAAGCAAATTCCTCCATGGAATGAAATGGCTACCTATCTTAGCTCACCCTAGAAAGGATCCTTCCTAAGTATACTTTTAGTTCAAAAATTTCGCTTTATTTTCTCTGCACTTTGATGTCTTTAATGTTTGCTTAATTTAATTTTTTGTGATTTATCCATTTGGTTTATCTAGAAGTCTCAGTGAGGGTATTGTCCTGATGCTACCTACTAAATTGTGTACTAAAAAGAAAGTACACTGATCACCCTAAGTTTTAATAGTTGATTAAAAAATAAATGTTTAAAAAGAAGCCAAATCATGTTTTGGTGATGACTTGTAATTGCTACCTATTTCTTCAGCTTTATATTTTTTAAATTTAGAACAAGGCATATTTATTCTGTTTCGGGAATGGAGCACCATGTTTTGCTTTAGGTGAACATACGTTCATTATATTGTTTTGAAACTTTTGAGAAACCAAGTTTCAAAAATCAGAACTTTAGTTGCCGACTTTTACCAGGAAAAGATGTAAGGCTCAACTGCTCTGCTTTGCTGAATGAAGAGGATGTACTTTATTGGATGTTCGGGGAAGAAAATGGATCGGATCCTAATATACATGAAGAGAAAGAAATAAGAATTATGTATGTATGTATATATACCATATAACAATCATATATATTATATATAACTTCATATTAAAAACACTGGGTGGCTGATGTGTATTTTGGGCTAGTTTAAATTATAATTATAATGGACATATTTTATGATTATAATGGCCATACCCTAGGTGGATGGATTATGCAGAAATGTATTGCCAAGATCTAAGCTGGAAAAGAAGGTCCATGAGAAGGCCATTGAGGGTATTTAGCATCACCTTATAAAGTAGCACTTGGTCGGTCAGGATCTGATGCAGATGGGGATTTTACCTAGCTTCTTAGAAAAGGGCAGTCGCCTAGGCCAAGCTTTTTTTTATTTTGAAAAATTTGTTGTTTATTTTTCTAATGTGCCAAACAGGTTCCAAATGGCATGCATATTGATGCTTAAATAAGCCTATATTCTTCCATTAAGGAATGGTCAGACTTATAAAAAGAAAAAGACTAAACATATAGTCAGTTAAGCTTTTCTGAATGACTTTGAGTCATACTGTGATTATTCACTATTATACTGATACACTACTCAGGGTCTAGTGAGTGCTGAGCCTGAGTTGTCTAGCACCTTAGCAGCACTTGTTGAGTTTTTTCTTCTGCTTTTTACACATTTGTTTGGTATATTCTTTGTTACCATGCTGGCAGCTCTACATTCTTGCTGACACTTGTTTACAAGCTCTTTACACCACAAAGTCTGACTTCTTGCCCAGGAGCAGGCCATGATTCATGCCCGCTACATGTTGAATTCAGTTGAACTTTGTGGATCTCCTGCCATCATATCTCATCCTCAGCCACTGATCTCCACTTGAGTTTTGTATTTCTCCCTTTGGATACTCTCTTCCTAAGTTTTAGAGGGATAGAAAACCACAATGAATTTCTTAGAAATGCAGCGTAAGCTACAAAAGCAGGGAGGTCTTCCTTTGTAGTTGGCTGCACACACCTTTGATGTCATCTGTTTTGTCCTCTCAGTGGCCTCCTGTGTTTTACTTCTGGATGTCATTGGTTTTAGATGGTTGTTATTTCTGGATGGGTGACTTAGGAACAGAATTACCTTCCAAAATGTACTTGAGGCAGTTGGAGGGTACAGTGGGGCTCTGTGTCTCAGGTCCTAGAGATGCCTGTTGCTAGGAATGTGAGTATGTGGGGCCCATGTCTGGCTGTGTTGACTGGTGTAGCTATCACAGCCTGTCATTGGTGAGGGAAGTGGATGTCATGAGTGTTTTCGTGGCATCGACCACAGGACAACTTGAATCCTTTAAGGAAGAGAAAGAGCGCGTGCTGCCAGTGGCTGTCTCAAGTCATTTTCTGACACTCATGGAACAGCTTAACTGGCACTTCTCGTGTGCCTGGGGGTGCCTGAGAACAGTGTTATGTTTTTTAATGCTGAACAAATTAAATCAGTTTATTAGATTCCACGGACAAATGTAATACAAATCTGTATCTATGCTAAACAACTTACAGCCTTGTCATAATTAGTGGGAACCACTCTGTGCGAAGAACTCAAGTTGTTAGGAAGAGAGAAGTAGAGAAAAATAATTGAGAAACAGAATATTTTCTCATATTTTCAACTTAGCATCATGATCTTGCAGCCATTTAAACTCCAGGTAGTTGGACAGCACCGTTCCCAAATAGCCTTAGGAGGGCTGTTTCTGTCCATTCTGATGCTCCACAGAGGAGGGGAAGTTTACTGTAGTCCATGCTTTAAAAGTACTGACCAGAAAGGGAAGAAATAATGCAGGCAACATCACAGCTGCCTTCAAGCATTTTAAACACATAAATTCTCCTCTTATGGGTAATGAACAAAGTCTACTGCTAAACTATTTTCCCCCCTTACAGGACTTCAGAAGGCAAATGGCATGCTTCAAAAGTATTGAGAATTGAAAATATTGGTGAAAACAATCTAAACGTTTTATATAATTGCACTGTGGCCAGCACGGGAGGCACAGACACCAAAAGCTTCATCTTGGTGAGAAAAGGTGAGAAAGATTTATTTTTGGAAGTTTTGAAACTTAGCGCACTGCTACTGAGAGACATCTCAAAGATGGCCACTTTCTCATTTTCCACACCAGAATCCAGCTCCTGAGAGGGGAAGTCAGTCACCTCATGTCACAGGCATTCAGTAGCAGAGCTGGTGTTCAGCTGTGCCGGGCCCCTCTGTCTCATGGTGCCAAGCAGAGAGTGAAAACAGAACTCATTCACTTGCTCTCACAGTCATATTCCACCCCAGTGGAAATCGGGGGGCCTGAGGCTTGGAGATACAGATGCTGAGAGCGAGGCTCATGGAGAGGCCATCAGGACAACCCCTGCACCCAGCACCGCACCCAGAGCAGCCAGAGGGGAGTTTGCAGATCCGTGTGGGGTGAGGCCAGTGCATACTTGGTGTGACTGCTGCTCCAGCCTGCCTCAGCAGGGCACCAGGCTCCGGGGCCTTGTGTGTGCTCATTCATTCGTTGCCCCGTGGACTTGGCAAGCAGGCCATTGATAGCCCTGATCCGTCAGCTCTTAAAGTTATTCAGTGCTCACCTGATGGAGGGCCCCAGGTTGCCATCCCTCTCCTCCACCAAAGTAGCACAGCCCAGGGCCTTCAGCCCAGTAGCCGCTCAGAAATGGCTGTGACTGGAGCCAGAAAGCTGTGATTTCCAGTTGTCACTACTCATGCACTGTTCATTCCCAGGCTCCACCATCAACTCCCTGGATATGTAGGGAAAGGTCAAGATCTGCAAGAGAGAGAGAAAGGGAGAGAGACAGAGACTAACACACCCAGAGACAGACAGAGAGAGGGAGAGACGGACACCGAGAGAAGAGAAAAAGAGATACATGAGATGGAGGGACAGAGACAAACAGACAACGCTAGAGAGATGAAGACAGAAATAGAGAAAGAGAGACAGAGACTCAGAGAGACAGAGAAATGAGAGAGACAGGGAGAGACACAGAGGAACAGAGAAAAGGGAGATAGGCAGAGACACGAAGGGATGCAAAGACAGAGAAATGAGAGCAAAACAGACAGAGAGACAGAGTAAGGGAGAGATACACACAGACACACGCAAACATGCAGAGAGAGCCCCACACACAGACTGGGCCTTGGCTTTGTGAGAAACGGAAGGAGTGGGACAGGAAGAGCACAAAGGCTGGAAACCCCCTCCAGCTGGGCTGTCCTGGTGCCCAGGGGCAGCTCCCCCAGCACACATGTTTTAGAGCTGCCTCTACCATATGCACTCAACAACAGCTCACATTCCACACATGTTAATTACATGACAGGATCTGGGTGAAGCTCCTCCCATGATCTCATCCAGTCTTAACGACAAGCTTTATAGAGGTGAAGAAACTTGCCCAGGATCACATGGCAGGTGAAGGTATTGAAACTCAGACCTGATTAAATCTGAAATCTGTGTTCTTACCTTCTGCAGGGCTTGTCGCCTGTGGTTTTCTGCCCCTGTGTGATTGCCTGCGCTGTGGTCCACGCACTTGCGTGGGAGCGGGGCTCAAATCTTGTTTTCGTTGGACCGTTGCCTGGCCAGGCTTTCCTGGGGCGTGCTCACCACCAGTCGCCTCTCCCCTCTTAGAACAGGGCAGGACTGTCCTATCCCTGCCCTAGACGCTTCTGCCCAGCCAATTCTCCTGCTGCTGCTCTCACAAATGTAGGTTTAGGAACTGGGGCTCACAACCCCCCATTATCCCAAGAGGAATTGTGTGCCAATGTGTGCGTGTCTGTGAAAATGTGTGGCACTGTTATGACTATGCAGTTCTTTCAAAGGTGCAGGAGCCCCAGACGATTCAGAGAGTTCACTATTAAGCAACATTAGCTGCTTACCTGAATCCTAAAGATAATGGAAAGATACAGAAAGATAATTTCTAAAAATCGCTTCAAGATGGCAAAAGTTTTAAGTATGTTTATACTTGTTGACCTAGAGATGCCCCCACCATTACAATGTATTTTAAGAAAAGAATGAGAAATATGGATAAATGCATATGCATTTGTGTATATGTATATACATATATGCATGTATATATACACATACATGTAAATGTGTATGCACACACGTACATGCATATACATTTATATAAATATACAGGTATACATTTATATTCTACATACAAAATGTACTGCAACTTTATGTCTACTCACTAAAAATTGCAATCAATCTAAACATTAGGTTGTTATGAATTATCATTTTAATGACCTACTGAAATGCTCATAATATTTGGAAATAACGAGTGATTACCATATGATCTCAGTTAAGTAAAAACTTTAAGAGACAAAAAAGAAAACCCAGAAGGAAATATTCTACCATGTCAACACAGCCTTCACCACATTGTGGTTGGTTGTTAAAAATTACTTTATTCTTTTATTCCTCTGTGTTATCTTAGATTGTCCATAATAAGCATAAACGGAATCAATCTGGAAAATGTATTTTTTTTCCAAATGGCACTTTTATATAAAGAATTTGCTAAAATCCCAAGAGCTGTGTGCTGTATTAACTACTTTGTGTGTAATATTTCATGTAATCTTCCCCAAAGGAGAAGCCTTGTAATGGAAGAAGAAATTATTAGATTTTCCTTTTTTCAGATAAAGGTACCAAGGTTTAGGGGCATTCTTGATTTTTCCTACAAAACGAAATAATCGGTGGAGCCCGGCTTCTAACCCAGACAAATGTCAATCCAGCCCTCTCTCTCTTCTCTCAAAACTACGCACCTCCACCCACTTGCTAAGGTTTCTGTGAGTCCCTATGTACTTCAGCCTAGTATCTCTCCACCCCAGAAATCTGATTTCCACAGGTATGGATAGAATACATCACTGTGTAATGTTTTCACTTCAGGTCTCTACATATCCTTGTACACATTTTTATTCTTTAAAAATTTGAGTAGAAATATCACTACTCCAGACTAAAGGCAGGAATGTGGAGTCACTCAGTGAATGTGTCAGCACTTGGGTTGGTAACTACTGCATTCGTGTTAACAGTAAAAATGGACAAGCATGCGATGATGGACAACACTGGTAAGATTTCTTGATTATTTCCTTTTCCTTTTTCTCTTTCTCTTCTAGCAGACATGGCTGATATCCCAGGCCACGTCTTCACAAGAGGAATGATCATAGCTGTTTTGATCTTGGTGGCCGTAGTGTGCCTAGTGACTGTGTGCGTCATTTATAGAGTCGACCTGGTTCTATTTTATAGACATTTAATGAGAAGAGATGAAACATTAACAGGTAACACATATAATGCTGGGGTGTCTTACCTTATGTTCTCATTAAGAAATCAAATAAATAGACGTTAATCTTCATCTTATTGTGATGATACTGTAGAATTAATCTGTGGGAGAGGTTTTCTATGGGAAATACTGTTCTGCCTGTACCATCCATTATGAATGTTGTTTGTGTCTTCTTTTCTTGTGCTTACTTATGTGTTGCCCAAAATTGTTCTGATTGTCTTGTGTATGTCTTGTGTATATAAATGCCCTGGGAGATGCTCGGGCCCAGGAACTGTATATCTGTGTGTCCTGTGTATGCATCACCTAGGTACCTTTATAGTACATACACTCAATAAAGTTGCTTTAAGTTGGATTGAATTGTCCTATCGCTTATTATTTCAACCTGGCAAAGGAGGCTTACATAATGGACGTGTAAGAACCCCGAGCTGGCCAGGTGCAGTGGCTCACGCCTGTAATCCCAGCACTTTGAGAGGCCGAGGCGGGCAGATCACAAGGTCAGGAGATCGAGACCATCCTGGCTATCTCAGTGAAACCCCATCTCTACTAAAAATACAAAAACATTAGCCAGACGTGGTGGTGGGCACCTGTAGTCCCAGCTACTCGGGAGGCTGAGGCAGGAGAATGGTGTGAACCTGGGAGGTGGAGTTTGGAGTGAGCCAAGGTGGTGCCACTGCACTCCAGCATGATCGACAAAGCAAGACTCTGTCTCAAAAAAAATAAAAATAAAAATAAAAAGATCCCCAAGCTAGAAGCCAAATGATCTGGGTTCTGATCTCCTAGATCTGCCAGTTTTTATCTGCGACTATGTCGACCTGCTGGCTCCATCCCTCAGTTTCCTTATATGTAAAGGTGACTAGAAGTCCTCAAGTTTCCAGATAATTACTAATTTAAAGGAAGTCAGTCTAATTCATTGCACTTGATTTTGTTTCTGCGTATGCGTGTTTGCAGGAAGAAAACCTTCACACAGTTCAAAACCCAAAATGTCTATTAAATTATACTTCAGAAGCCCCCCTTCCAGCCTAGTCCTGGATCTATGATTCCCAACCCTCATTGATAGCACATCTGATCAAATATAAATATAGATTCTTATTACACTCTTCCTTTTAAAGAGAACAAATCTTGGCTTAATGTGCACACTGTTTTCAACTTTGCTCTCTTATACCTTAGACACACTTGCATGTTACTTTATACAGAAGTCCCTCATTTAATACAGAAGTCCCTCATTTTTTAGGGCCTCAGTATTTTATTTGTATAGAGCTACCACTGTTTATTTAGTCTCCTTTTGATGGACATTTGACTTGTTTCCAATCTTTTGTTATTACAAAAATGCCACAATGGACAGCTTTATACATTCATCGTTTCACATGTATGCAGTATGTCTGAAAGAAAAATTTTCCAAAATAGTTTCTAGAATACAAGAAGGAGACATGGCCATTATTTTGCTAGATACTGTCAATTCACTCTCCCTACTGCCTTCAAAGGATGACAGCAACTTTTTTCCCATAACCTTACCCACAACCATTTGGAGTTGTGCCAATCTGATAGGTGAAAAGTTGTATCTAAGTAACATTTTAATTTGCATTTCCCTTACTATGCAGGAGTATCAGCAGCTTTTCATTTGCGTAAGACTCAGTTGTATTTCCTTTTTCAACATACCCATTCATATCTTTTGACTATTGTTCCATGAGGTGATGGCTTTATTTTGCATATTTCTTTCTAGGAGCTATTCATATTTTAGGGAGTTTAACCTATTATCTATAATATGAAATGCAAGTATTTCCAGGCTGTAATTTGTCTTTTGACTTTGCTTATAGTGGTGTGCTATATAAAAGACTTTTTGGAAAGCATACTCAAATATATCTTTTATGCTTTCTGAATTTGGGGTCATAAGTAAAACAGCCTTCCTAACCTCAAGTTATACAGAAATTATATAGTTCCACTGAGATTTTTATAGGTTTAGTTTTTACATTTAGAACTTTAAGTTGAACAATATAAAGTTAGCAAGGTTAGTGAATTTAGCTTTGAGCCTGCCTGTGCACGTGTGATTTTGCTATGGGGAGAGATGGTGCCACAACAAATGGGGAAATCTGTATTTGATATTTTCTGAATGGTCTCTGTTTGCATAGACCAGTGTTTGTCTTCAAATAGACATTGACTAGCTCCTCTCTTTCTGACTTTCTGGAGCTAAGATTTCTTTTTTTCTTCTCCAGTTGTGTTTGACATGATTTGCAGGTAATTTATTTAATTCACACTTCTTAACTGTCAATATGGCAGTGCAAAGAGACATTTAGAGACATGCTCTAAATAACTTCCATTAAATTATAGTCCACGAACAAATGCAGTCCATGAAAAAGACAGAAATGGAGATATAATTATGAAAATAAAAACTTTTTTCACAATTTAATACTGCTGCAATATCTAAGAAAGTGTTCAGTATTGGTTTGTGAAGGATTGGAAATGAAACTAATCAATCAACAACAACAAAAGAAGGCAAATTTAAATTAAAACATGGTCATTCACCAAGCATAGTTTGAGGAACATTTGTTTAACTTACTCCTTGAAGTCCCAAATATCCATTTGAATTATAATTTCCTTTATAATTTTCATTTATGTTTGAACATAGAGAATAAAAAAATTACCATTAGCTTTCAAATTCCTTTTTTTGTACACTTTGTCAATTCTCAGATCCACTAAACTTTTTACTACCTGGATTTAAAATAAATTTTAATAAAATTAGCAGATTTATATTACAAGAATTGCTTAAAATAAGGAATTTGAAAGCAATTAACATTTGAAAAGCTAATTTTTCATAGGTAAGAACAAAGCTATATTGCATGTAATATAAACCCATATTTGATGAAATTGTCTTCCCAGTTTATTGTAATCCATTACATCATAAGAAAATTATGCCTTTTAAAAAAGTGTGCTCATTTAATTGTCTTACACATTGGTGTCTGTTTAACGTCACTGACACAGTAACAATCCTAGTGGAAGCACTACCTCTTAACTAGGAGGTAGTTATATTTGATAGCAGTTTAAGAAAAGTATGTGGGGTACCTACTTACTGATTAATAACTGGTTTTATTTTTACCAACATTTCATACCTTTGATATTTATGTAAGCCTGAAATTTTTACCAACATTTTTCCTCTTTCAATGCATGCAACTCTGCAAAGCAATTGCTTTAAATGAACAATAGGTTCTAACCCAAACTGCCGAACAGAATGCTGTAGGTAGAACTGAAGAATCTTTTGCCAGAAGCAGAAAGTGTTGATTGGTGACCATGAGTGCTATGGAGGATGTCAGGCTGGGCTGTTGAGCATAAATGATGGCACCATAAGAGACATAGATCTAGAATGGTTTTATCCTATTAGATTTTAATAAGGGATGCAATCATATGTAGCATTTAACTCAGTAGCAAATTCATTAATCCCAATAATATACCATCATAAATCTTACCTGTCTGCCATCAAAACAATTGTCATGGGATAAAGGTAGACCATTCCCCCACTGTTTTCCTTTTTTCTCTACAGATCTCAATTAGAATCCATTGCATTTTTTAGGACCCGACTCAAAATTTCCTCCTTTCAGAAAGCATGTCCATCAGGATCACTCTTTATTCTCTGACCAGGTTATTTTGTCTGTGAGTTTTGTTAGTTTTTTGTTGTTGTTGTTGTTGTTGTTGTTATGCTATTTTTCTTCTGCTAATCTGTTGTTTGTAACTTTTTCCAAGTTGTTGCATGCATCTGCTTTGCTTTTAAAATAGATTGGATGAAGCTAGAAGAGAGAGTGGTATCATGTTTTAATTACCCAGTTAGGAGCATGGTCTTTGTTATTTAGGAGACATTTCCTCCTGAATTTGTTCTGTTAGCCATCTGAGTACTACTCCATTGTCAGAAATTAAATAGGAGCAGATGTTATCATCAGTGAAAATCATCAATAGATCAGAAGTTTTCCTTTTGACATCTATATTCTATAATATTTAAAAATATAATAGCATGTTTTCCAATAGCATATTGTTTCATTTTCCTCTATTGTTTTTCCCCACATTCCAGTGTAAACTGCTCTGCTTCTCTCTTCACCTTCTTGGGGGTCTCTTTGAGCGTAGAAATTGTGATGGTGGTAGAATTAAGTGAATTGAGTAAACCAGAGTGAGATTTTCTTTCCACTGCTGGAATGAGGGCACCTTTGGGCTCTTGGCCTTCTAAGGAACTTAAAGACTTAAGTTCCTTTAATGCCCACATCTATGGCTCATATGTCTCTCTATTCTTCTATGGTGTTAAGCAGTGGGATCTTAAAGTAGATGCTTAAAAATGCATTGACTAATGGGTTGCTTGGTTAGCATGGGAGGTTTAAGTATAAACAACTTTATATGTAATTTTTCTTTTTCAATGAATCTATACTAATTACTTATGACAGTCACTTAAATTTGTACTTAAACAACATTTTATTTACACATGAATTAAAAGAGTCAATCTTACCTCCTAGATGGAAAAACATACGATGCTTTTGTGTCTTACTTAAAAGAATGCCGACCTGAAAATGGAGAGGAACACACCTTCGCTGTGGAGATTTTGCCCAGGGTGTTGGAGAAACATTTTGGGTATAAGTTATGCATATTTGAAAGGGATGTAGTGCCTGGAGGAGGTAAGAGGGAATGCCAGAAAGAAAAACATTCGAGATAGTTTCTTTTTAAAAAAGGATTGAGCTAGCCCCCAGATGGCTATCCCATTTCCTTAAAATCAAATGAATAAGGTCCTTTAAACCAGAAATAACCAGGTGAGTCAACAATTGATAGTGAGAAAACAAACTACTGAGCTTCCAATAGTCTCTTCTCTTGGGCTGTGTTCTTTGTGCTTCATGGCTCTCTGAAACGTTGGGGAAAGGGAGAGGGCATTTCCTTTTCAGAACCGGGTCCAGAGCTGGCGTTATCATGAAGCATTTATTTAGAAATGACCCACGGTAAGACTATCTGTACCACAGCAGCAGTTCCAAATTTTACATGTCATGTGTGGACTAGTTAATCCTCACTAGTAACTCTTACTAGAAATAAACACAGGTTAATTATTACTAGAAAATGCGTGACTTTTATTGTGTTGATATTGGTGATGAAATTTAAGTAGAAAATGTGAAAACTGTAAAGGAAAAAAAAAAAAAAAGGAAAGCAGTGATTCCCATCAGATCATAGCTATGAAATTCAATTTTTTTATTAATATAGGAATACAAATGGCCATAGTGCATATATTAAAGCAAATTATGGTTAAATTTTTTTAAAATGAGTAACATTTTTAGATTTTCTCTGAAGTCTTCCAGAACAAACATTTAAAATCTGGTGTCAAATTATTCTGGATACTGATGCTTAAAAAACAACAAATGTTTTATTATTAACATCATTAATTTATTAATCTAATATTTATTGGATACTATTCCTGTGCCAAGTTCTGAACTGGGCATCAAAGATGTAGCAGTGAGAAAGAAATAGTTATATTCCCCCCCCACCATATTCCAATTTATAAAGGAAAATATTGCCAACTTACACTACTGTTTAGTAATAAATAACTTGTCAAAAAAAAAAAAATGCCAGATTATCAGATGCATACATTGTGGTATTTTTGGGTAACAGTTCTTTGCATCTAAGACGGCATATTGTTACTTAGAAAGCATTTATTCTGGGCCGTGTATCTATTTTACTATATTTTTGTTATTTTCTAGAGGTCTTTTTTGAAAATAGGTTTATTCTTAATTCATAAATAAAAATAATGATCAAATATTCAGTTGTAATTAGGTTTGGTTAAGCCTCTATTTGAGAACAGTGAGAGATCTAGAACAGGGGTTGGCAATTTACCAGTCACAGGTTCCATCACACCTGCAACCCTTATTGAAACACAGCCACACACATTGGTTTACCTGTTACCTGAGTCTGCGTTTGAGTGACAACAGAATTGAGTAGTTGTGACAAAGACAGTGTGACCTGCCAAGCCTAACATGTTTGCTACCTGGCCCTTTGCAGAAAAAGTTTGCTAACCCCTGGTCTAAAATAATGGATGGTTTTGTTTTGTTGTGCCTTTTTGTCTTTCAATCTTTAAATTCTGATTTTAGCATGCTCTTTTATGCTTGAGGAGAAGCAGGATAGTATAATAGGAAAAATGTGTTCCACTGGGTTCAGATTCTGATTCTGCCACTTATTAGCTGTGTGACTCTGGGCTGGTTACTCAACCACTCTGTGCTCTGGCTTCCTTGTCTGTTAAATGGTGGTGATAACAATATCTTCTCTGTAGGCTATTATGATGATTAAATTAGTTAATATACAAAAAAATCATTTAAAATAAGGTATGGTACAGAATAAGTGCTAAGTAGATATTCATTATTATTGTTACCTAGAGAGTTTTTAATAAGCATATAAAATTGAGAACAAATGGTTTGTCTTAAAGAAAAACTTATTAGTGAGGTTAGGAGTTCATATAAAATAGGACTGTGCAAAATGACTTTTATCTCGTTTCCCCTTTCAGTTATCTTAAATTAATATGGGTTATCTTGCATTTTTCAGCTGTTGTTGATGAAATCCACTCACTGATAGAGAAAAGCCGAAGACTAATCATTGTCCTAAGTAAAAGTTATATGTCTAATGAGGTCAGGTATGAACTTGAAAGTGGACTTCATGAAGCATTGGTTGAAAGAAAAATTAAAATAATCTTAATTGAATTTACACCTGTTACTGACTTCACATTCTTGCCCCAATCACTAAAGCTTTTGAAATCTCACAGAGTTCTGAAATGGAAGGCCGATAAGTCTCTTTCTTATAACTCAAGGTTCTGGAAGAATCTTCTTTACTTAATGCCTGCAAAAGCCAAGCCAAGTAGAGACGAATCGGAAGTGTTGCCTGTTCTTTCAGAGTCTTAACTTCAGAAACACTGAATGGCAAAAAGAACTCAAGATACTCTGGGGACTGAGCGTATGAACCTGTTCATAACAAAGGCTGTGACTCAAAATATTTAATTCTGTAAAAATCCTGTTCACAATTTGAAGATGAACTAGTCGTTAGGTTGGTGGGAATAAGACTAAAGATTGCGCTGTGGGCTGTGGTCACGTGCTCCCAGAAGACCTAGAATTCAAAAGAAATGGAGTTCTTCTTTTTCTCCCTCTTTCATAACTGGATGCAGCTGCTCTTACTCAATCCCGTATTCAGCAAGTGTAAGCCGGGCGTGATGCAAAATAACCTGTGCGCTACAAAAACAGCGCATCTTTAAGAGTTTTAATGCCAGTGTTTAATTTGAATGAGGGGATTTTAAGTTCATGAAGAGGCATTTTCTAGGCACCAGTGGGTGAGGAGTAACTGAAATGCTGCTTTCACTCCCTAACATCATGGATCGGGTTGTGCATGGGATGTGGGAGGAGGGGCTGGCAGGGCTGCCTTCAGAGCCTGCAGGGCCTCAGCCTCAGGATGTATTTAATTTATCACGGCCACAGTTGCAGCCAACAGTTCTCAAAAGCTCATGTGGATCTATTTATGGGAACTTCTTAAAAGGACCCCAGAATAGATTTTTATCTTTCACAAGACACACAAATTCTAATTTAGTTAATTATCTGGGCCTTTCACTTTTGATGGTCTGAAACGTTGGTTGATTTTGTGTGAATGTTTATATCAAAATGTTTGCCAGGTTGCGTTAGCCATTGAATAGCAAAAAAACGGATAGTTACTTGCTTGGTTTTTAAAAATTACATACTAAAAATGCCCTTAGCATGAAGACAGTATGGTGTGGCAGTTAAGAGATGGGCTGTGCAGCCCATCCTGAGCTCCAGTTCTGAGTTTGCGACTTACCTCTGTGGCCTCTGGAACCTCATCCAACCTCTCGGTGCCTCAGTTTCCTCATCTGTGAAATTAGAATTTATAATAATTGTACCTACCTCCCAGGGGTGACTAAGTGAATAAATATAAGTAAAGAACTTGCAGTGGTTCCTGGCACAAACTCAGCACTCTCTCAGTGTTGCCATGACTATTTTTATTATCATTAGCAATGATTACTTAGATCAATTATTTAGCGGTGGACTAATGGAAGCTACAGAGCAGGGAAGGGAAGCAGACCTAGGGAGGAAGGCAGTTTTGATTTGAGGGGGTTTGCACACATAGAGAAGCATATTGGAGAAGCTTATCCAGAGCAAAATATATCTCTCCGTTGAATATCTGCCTCTTTTGATGTTGGAAGACACATGTCTTACTCCCTAAAGGGAGCCCAGCACTGGGAGCCTTCTTGATGATCTCAGAAGTAATAGCTATTCAAGAAAATCACCAAGGAACTGAAACCGTGAGTTTGGAAGGCTGATTAGAACACATGGGAGCAACATGAATGTTCTACAAAAGTTTAAAGCAGAGACTGTTTCAAACAGATGTAGTAGATACTACTGAAAACCAAAGGAGAGTGAGATTGTGTAAGAATGTGATTTAATGTTTGTAGTGCTTACAATTTTGTGCACCAACTGGATGGCTAGAAAGGGTAAAATAATTTAATTAATAGCTCATATTTTATGTGTGAAAACATTAGTGAACATATATAATCAAAATAGATTTCATTGCTATTGCATAGTCTCTGATACATAGAATGATTTTGCTTTTCTCTTTTATTATACTTGCTTTAAAATACTTGAAATGTATTTTGTATTAAATGCATTTCAAGTTAAATGTGTTAAATGTATACATTAGATGTGTGCTTTAAAATGCATAAAATACGTTGAAATACATTAATGAACCATTAGTCTAATGCCTTTATTTTTGAAATGTCATGACGTCTTTTTCACTTACTTTAAGATTCCAATTCCTTGTTCTCAATGTAGACTCCTACCTGTTTAAATAGAATATGGGCCATTCAAAAGATACTCGTGCACCTCTCTGTTTTTAAATGTCAAATTGCCTTGCACCTACATTCTTGTTGCACACCTTCCATCTGGGAGCGAAATAATTCCCTTCTGTTTTTCACAAGCCACTCAATACTAAACACAGGGTCTTCACATGTCAGATAATTAATGGGCATATTTTAAAATTCTGGTTTAAACATCCCCAACCAGGACCAACAAATAACTTTTCAGGAACAAAACAGCTTTCTTTTCCATGGCTCAGATGCCCTTAAACTGTGAAATCTATTTCAGAGAATCAGCACCACTACCTCTCTAGGGCATGTGAAGAAGCACCTCCTACATGTCTGTCACGTCCTAGAAGAATTTACTCATTAGAGATTGTGTAAGCTATACTCAAAGCAGAGAGAAGCCTTAGGCCCCACATATTCCAAACCCAGAAACTTGAGGCATGGTAACTCCAGGGACTTGGCCATAGTCGCACACAAGCAGCCTGACCAGGTTGGCACAGGATGGCGTATGGCCTCCTCTTGGAGATGAGCATCTTGGAGGCTGCAGGCACTTTTCTGGGGCCAACAATTTAAACTAAACGGGCCTAGGGCAGGGGGCTGCGGAGAAGAAGCAGGCTGCCTAGGACTGGCTCCGAGGAGGAAAAGAGAGTGAGAGGGATGTTCAGGATTCCTTATAAGCCATTAAAAAATAGGCATTGAAGTTCAGTACAGAGTGAAAGAGCACACACGATGGAGAACATCTGCCCACTGTGTCCTCTGCTGAGATACAGGGAGTTGGAACCCCCAGCATCTACTAGGAGCCCCGCCTGTGTTGAGGCAAATGACAGGCCAGTTGGGTTTGCTGGGGCTCTCAGCAAGGCTCAGAAAGGAGGCAGTTGTCCAAAGAGAGGACATTAGTAGAATCAGTTCCTCAAACCAAGGTGAATCATAGCTGGAAATGCTCAGAGGAATTAACCTGTCACCTTGGTCTGAAGTTCAGCTGTGAGGACCCAGGGATAGCAGAAGCCATCTGTCTGAGCAGACGCTGCTTTGAGCAGTGCGACCTTAAGCAATACAATCTTCAATGAGTGACCAAGCCACAGACCTAACAGGAAACTCATGGGCAGGCCTCAGGGCCTTCCAGCCCCACCTGCATGCCATGCTGATAGTGATCACAGTCCAGGCTGGGAGCTTAAGACCAACACGTAGATTTCTGTGTGAGGCTTTTGAAAATTTTTATCTCCTTCTAGCATATAACTCGCGGGTGCACAGACACACCCGGAGAATGCCATACCTCATTTACATGATTGCTACAATTGGATGTGTGTGCTTGATCATTAATAGTGAACATGTTAACTGACTTTCAAATAGTGGCTTGGGAGTCTTGGGGTTGTGACCCAGGGACCATCCTAGATGGTGGAATGGAAAATTGGGGAACATGGGAGCTGGGCTCCTGGATCTTCCCCTTCACCTCACTGCTCCCACCCCCTCCACATACCACAACTAGAGCCACACTGCTTTTATCCATGTTGTATGTTGAGGCCTTACGTAACATTTAACTTAACAAAACAGAATACCTTTCAGGAGGTCATGGTTTAGATACAATGAATATAATTTTCTCTAGCCAGTTTAAACAGAAATCATTACAGAATTATTTAGAGAGATGAAGAAACAGACCCTAGGCTCCTCTTCCAGGGATGCCTTCCAAAGTCATGCAAAAAACCTGGGCTGCCAAATAGAGCTGTTGATCTTGCCACAACCAGAAAGAAATCTGTGCAACCAGGAAGCTCTTGCTGCAGCTGCCAGCTCCAGAACCGGACAGGCTGAAGTCTAAGTTGACTAAAAGCTCTCTAATGTGGAATTGTTGGTTGAGAAGGCCAATTGCTTCTGTGCACCTAACTGCAAACGCCAGGAGCAACAGCTTTGAGTAGTAGTCTTAGCAGGAGGTGAGGCTGAGCACTGCCGTTCAAACATCAGCAGAAATGGCACTGTGGGTGCCACCTTCTGATCCAAGCCTTTTGCTTTAGATGTTCTCCAAGTGAACACTGTTAAGATGAGAGATGAGACAATAGCAGAGCACAGAGGTCAGTAAGTCAGTGCCTTAGGCTTAGAGTTTTCTCTAGAAGAACATTTGGCTCTGGTTACTTGCACATGGGCCTGAGTAGAAGCCATCTTGGTCATAGGGTGACCTTGGAAAGAAATAGACGAAGGCCACTTATACTGGGTTTTATACCACTTACAACCAGGCCTAATATAGACAAATATAAACTCCAAAACATGCCTTAGAAACAATGCCCTCTGTAACGAAATTGACTTTAGAATAATGATCTCAAACAGCCTGTGAAAATGAATGAATGGACAAATGGCTCTTTAGAAATATGTGTAGCACAAGAATTAACTTTAAAACTTTCAAGATTCCGTTACATTGTTTATTTCTATTTAATGATCATGTGCACTGTGTACAGAATGAAGTTGAAAGATGAATGAAGGTTTTACTAAGATATGACCCATAACTGGCTTGCACTTTTTAACAAATAGACATGAAATTCAGCATTTATTTGAGGGCTGTCCTCTTGGAAGTAAGCATGTAAGTAGATCACACACTTTCTGTAATGATTTTTTTGAATCAAGCCACTTTTAAAATTCATCTTTAGAAACTCACAAACCAAGGCAGAAAATAGCCAATACCCTTACATTTTCATTCTTTAGTCATGTATTTTTGAAATTACCAAAGTCACTTGAGCTAAGCCTGATGAGTAATGGTGATAACCAAGTTGATTTTTTTTTTAAATCAAAAGCAAGGTGTGATGTTAAAGTTACATTTGTTTTCTGCAGTGAGTTGCAAACCAGTGACTGACTTTTCAAGTTGTTTCTCTTGATTTTCATTGTTATCATATTATTACACTCAAATTGTGAAACTTAGAAAAAGTATGGCCAAGAGAGAATTCAAGCTTATATTAAGTGAAGAGGCAAAAAGAGAGCACTTGGCTGCTTTAACGTTACATTTTAAAATGTTTATTATGAAACATTTGAAACATACGAAGTAGAAGGAAATATGCAACAAATATTCATATATCTACAATCCACACTCAAAGACTGTTAACATTTTCCCATATTTAATTTATCCCTATCTTGTTTTCATACTGGATGTTTTTGTTATAGTTTTCTTGCATCGTGATGACATTACTCTTGAATACTTGTGCGTGCATCTCCAGTAAATAGATGCTTATCTTCAAAATCACAATGGTCAACATTTAACAAAATTAACAATCATTTTCTAACACTAAAATTGTCTGTCTTTGGCCATCTTCAAGTTGATTCCTAAGTTCTTTTGACTCTACTGTAGTATTTTTGATCATTTCCTAATTTTGTTGTTGTGATTTTCTGATATGGGAAGGTATTCTACACTTGTTCTGTTCTTAGTCCCAGACAAAGCCATTTCTCTAAGGAGCCATGGTTCCTTTCAGTGAGAAATTGTTTTTAGAGACCACGATTTGGGTCTAACAGTTGCACATTCTTAACTCAATGTTTCTAGGCTAAGTAGATATAACAAGGAAATACATATACATCCATTAAATGAATTCTAAATTAATACTGAAAAGTCCAATTTAAATTTAGGACCACAGGTTTTACTTAGCCTCATCAATTTTACATTGGAAACACTGCCATGCAGAAAATTCCAGTTCCCAGTGGCATCAACATAATTGTTAATTTGCTTTATCCCACAATGTACATACATCCAATATGCATATATTTCAAAGAATTATAATACCAACACATCCATTAATATTTTGTTGCCTAAAAACAGTTGAAAACATTTTTGTACCATTTTATCCCTTGAGAATATTTCACTATAATATAGAGTCATCATTGTATTCTAAAGTTATTTGAAATTATTCCTCTTATTGTGTTTTTGTCAGTTAAACATATTTATTTGTTTTGTTTTGATTTTTAGGAATTGATTTTTTAAATTTTATTTTGTTTTATAATAGGGCAAAAACGTTTTTCAAAATGATATTGGTTTATCCTTCTATATTTTTATATAAGTAAATATTCATGCATTTTTTTCTTGTCACCTCTCACAGATAAATGGCAGATATTATATACAATGTCTCCCCTTGATTTTACCACTTGATAATATATTCTACAGATCACTCTATAGTTGTACATGGAACTATTTCTGAGAAATACTTTTTTATACACATACATGGTATACCATTGTGTGGCTGTACCATGCTTTATTCAACCAGTCCCAAATATTTCCAGTCTTCTGCTCTTACAATTTACGTTACAAAGAAGTCTTATGCATGCATATTTCATGCTTTTTCCCTAGAATATTTTTGGGATATTAGACATAGGATTGCTGGGTCAAAGGGTAATACATATGTACTTTTGCTGCATATTGCCCAATTCATCTTTTAGGGGTTGTAACATTTTGTATTCTTACCATCAGTGTCTAGAAGTGCTTGTCCCTTAGCTTTGGCCCATTTCTCTATAGAGATTTTGATCTCTTTCATCGCCATTGTGGGAAGGTTTTTACATGTTAGACATATTAAGACTTTATGATGTAAATTACAATTGTTTTCCAGTTTTTTGTTTGTTTGTTTGTTTTTTGTTTTTTGTTTTTTTGCTTTCGGTATTTATTCATTCCCAGATTTTAAAAGAATTAATCCATTCTTTCAATACTGATATGGACTCAGTTTTCACTTTAAATCTTCAATCCATTTGGAATTTATTATGGTGTTTAGTCTGAGAAATTGATCCATTGCATTGTTTTCATATGTCTGTGTACTTATCACAACATCACCTCTTAAAACAGTCATTTTTTATCCACTAATATAAGATACCCATTTAATGTCTATTCAATTTCCATATCCTATTAGACCTAGTTCTGGACCATCTATTCCGTTCCATTGGTCAATGTGTTTTAAATTGACACATAATAATTGTACATATTTATGGGGTACACTGTGATATTTTGATACATGTATACATTATTAAAACTGAAATCAGGGTATTTAGCATATCCATC